AAAAATGCCTTAATGCCACTATTTTATAAAAAAAACTCATTTACGAAAGCGTGAAAAGGTAAGACGATGTCGACAAAAATATAGCGAAAAGCGGACTACACTTTAAGCATTGTGCAAACATTTTTTCATCAAATGAAATGTATATAGGGTAATGCGTCAAAAGTTGTTTCGACAAGGTGTAATGTATTAGGTATTCCGTCATAATTTTAATCGAGAAAGTGAAATCTATCACATATTGCGTCTACATTTATTTCGAAAAACAACTTTTATTAATTTCTCGTCATAAAAGTAATCGTCATGTGCCATGTTTCTTTTTTTGCAAGAAAACATTTGGCCAATTAACTCAACTTTTCTCGTTTATTCGAGTTATTTTTTTTAGAAAAACACTAAACATATCCTGCCTTCGCGCCTTATATTTTTTCGAATAGCGTAAATCTTCTCAAAAAAGATCGCGTAAGAGGTGACCCTTTGAAGCTTCCGGAAGCTTCAAAGGGTCACCTCGCTTCAAAGGGTCACCTCTTACGCGATCTTTTTTGAGAAGATTTACGCTATTCGAAAAAATATAAGGACGGAATACCTAATACATTACACCTTGTCGAAACAACTTTTGACGCATTACCCTAATACATTTCATTTGATGAAAAAATGTTTGCACAATGCTTAAAGTGTAGTCCGCTTTTCGCTATATTTTTGTCGACATCGTCTTACCTTTTCACGCTTTCGTAAATGAGTTTTTTTTTTTATATAAAATAGTGGCATTAAGTCATATTATACTACAGGAGGCAGCATATTTATCGAAGTCATGGAGAAAGTTTTAACAGTATTGGTATGTTATTATTGCCATTATTATCATTAATATTACTACTATTAGTAGCACTAGCAGTAGTAGGAGTGGCGGCGATAGTTGTAGCATCAGAGAAGTAGCATTGGCAGTAAAAGCAGCAGCAGCATCAAAAGCAGCTTGTTACTGTAGTAGTAGTAGCAGTCGTAGTAGGTACTTGTAGAGGTACACGCTTTAATAGATTCACTTATTAAGCTTTTCATGGAAGCTTAATGTATTGTCTGTGGTTTACATACTCTTCGCCCTCTAGCGTTTTCATTTTTACTTTGATTTTGACCAGAAGTTGTATCTTAATGTAAGCTAGATCAAGTTAGAAAATGGGTTATTTCGGGTGAAATTCAGGGTCACAGTGACTTTAGAAATAGCAAAAATGATAAAAGGTAAAAATTAGCAATTTGGGACATAACCCAAACACTATATGCCTTAGGTGAACGGAACCTATGCTATAATAACCACTAATAGGTAATCTTGGAAACATGTAACTTTGGTCTGGCTTGCTTTATTACTTTTTGAGTAATCTGCAATTGAAGTGGTCAAAATGGCTCCAAATATTATTTTGAGATTCTAGTCACTTTAGTGTTGTTATTTTTTTCTACACACCTTTACAAATGGCCAAAATATTTTTTAGCATGAGTACTAGGAATATCGGGAAAAGAACATGTGAGTAGGTCAATGGGCCCCTTAAGGGAGACAAAATATCCATATTTCGGTCACTGTGGTTAGTTGCTATTTTCACATATTTTAAGTATAAGTTAGCTACTGTGTCTGGATAAGTTCTACAAGTACCAAAAAGCTAGTTTACATGGCATAAAATGCCTATTTGGAGCTTTTGGACACTTCTGCAAGTTCATGTATCTACAAATCTTTTGTATAATTGGTAAGAAGAAGTATAAGGAAGAGATCAAGAAATATCGGAACGACCGGGTCAGTAGGGTTAATAACTGAAACATAGGGGCCCCTTTAATGGCTAAAATACCCATGTTTAGCCTTTGGACACTTGTTTACATTTCCACGTACATAGTTCATAAAAGAAAATAGTCGTATCAGGATAAGTTCTCAGAATTAGAAAAAAAACTTGAGGTCCATGTTGCTGTATTTGGTTCAGCTTTGGATGGTGGCTTTTGGACTTGGTTACCTGGGTGCCTACGCTTCTTGTTCCGTTATGGTACATAGCTCATTATCTTACAACGCAAAGAATGGCTTGTCCGCAGCTAGAGTTATACCAGGGGCAGAGCGTTATAAAGGTAATGTAAAGGCTTCGTTAACTATAGCCAGCTTTATAAGCTCATGAGACACATTTTCACGCACGTACAATAGCTCTCCAATCCTCTCTTCTACATAATGTTAGGGAGGCATACAGCAACCGACTACCTCAGCCACCCAGGTGGGATACGAACTTCGACCTGCCTCTTCGTAGGTGAACGCCAAGACCACTAGGCCACAGAGACAGACATACATTCAAAATGTATAATGAAAATAAATGAAAATGTCACTGTTGTTTTGGAATCTATAACCAAACAGTTTACCAAAATACTTCCAAAATATGATAAAAAGAAATTTGCAAATGCAGTAAATTATGAAACTTGGGTGCATTAATTTGAATTACGAAAAATTGGAAATGTAATATTGGCTATCAAAGCTAGCAACAAGCATAGAACGCTCGTTGGGTGCAAAGGTTTGCTGAAGAAAGGTAATAGTTTTACTGCACCCTTTTTATTCACCATATCTTGCCCATTGCGACATTATTTTCTTCCGAAATTTAAAAAAAATACTTGCTGGACATATCACACAAGACAGACACTTGGATCTACCTACTGGTATACCCAAATCAATATGCTGTGACGCATTCCGGAAATTGATCCACCGACTAAAATTATGCATTTCTAGTAAAAAGGAGTACTTCGAAGGAACAACATAAAGAAATTACTGATTACTAAATTTTCTAACATCAAGTTCCATAATAAGCAATTCTTTTCAAACATTTCTCTTACTTCAACTTTGATAGCGGTCACTTTTAAGCAAATGTTTTGGCGGATGTTACCTACATTCAAAAGTATGTCTCATGAAAACTACGCATTCGATGTTCAAAACAGTTTTGAAATTTGCATTTTAGAAAGTTCATAGTTCTGTGTGTTATTATTTATATACGTGTAGTGGTTTGAAAGAGTCGATTGTTGTTGTTCTAAAATTCCTGAAAAAGCGTCAGTCTACGTTGCAGTAGTATTGGCATTAATGGCAATATTAAGAGCAGTAGCAGCAGAGTAGTAGTAGTAGCAGTATTTTTAGTCTTGGTAGTAGCCGAAGTAGTTAAGTGGTAGGAGTAGTAGTATCAGTGGCAGTAGTCGTCGTTTTAGTCGTATTCGTTGTCATCATAGTTGTTGTCGTTAGTCGTAATATGATATTTTATTATATATTTATGTAATAGTATAAGCTAATATTCTTTGCAAAAGTATTGGTATTAATGTTATTCAATGATGCTGTTTTCTGTGAAAAATTCTAATAGTTAAATTTGCATTTTGATAACTTTCAGATACTTCTTGTGGCCGTTCATCAAATCGTCCTATGGTACGACACCAGATGAGCAGAGGCTATACGATTCTGTCAAAAACTTTTCAAACTTAGATATGCGTATTCGGTTATGACTGGAATGTTTTTGTTTGTTCGTCATATTGTTATTTCCAAAATCAAGATAAAAATAATGCTTAAACGTTTGAACTTGCGTAGACGTGAAGAAAGCAACCCAGAGGATATTGCTCGTGGAATAGTACAGGAACATCGAGAGGGGAATTCCGGACTAGGTTACCAAGCAGCTGGGAGAATGTTGTTTATAAGATATGGAATCAGAGTTTATCAAAATACAGTGAGGATTTTTCTTTAAACGTTAGACCCTTGTGGAGTAGTCAACAGGAAAGCAAGACTATTAAGACGTAGACAATACTTCAATCGAGGCCCAAACTTCGTTCGTAATTCATGTCGATGATTATGACAAACTTAAAACCATTTGGAATATCAATTCATGCAGCTATTGATGGTTTTCCCGAAAAAATATAAAGTTGAAAGCTGCACCTTCTAAAAGAAACTCTGCTTTTGTTGTTTTTTACTTCATGCATCATATAAAGAAACACGGTCATGTACCAATAATGGTAAGGGTCGATCCAGAGATTGAAAACTGTACATTAGAGAACTTTCAGATCGCGAAACTTTACTTTTTCTTGGAGGAACTTCTTTAAAGATCAGATTGATAGAAACCTATTTGATAATAACCTATCAGTTGCATATCGAATGCCTTAGTCTTTGTTATAAGCATTTCATTCTAAAATATCATCTTGACAATTTTAAGAAATCCTGGATTATAAATACTGTTTTCACAAACTTATCAAGAGTCTGTAACATTTGAACCCAACATGATGAAGAATCACCCGATGATGTTTGGTTGTACAGATTGTTCGTTTGAAAAAAATGTTCTGCAGAAGAATTGGAGAATCTGGTTTGGACCCACCTACTGAAATGGTGCAGTTCAGTGTAATTTTGTCGGGGTTAAATGCACATTCCTTTCAACAACTGAATATTGCCGAACAAGCAATCGAAGTTTATCAAACATAATATCACCGCTTTATAATTGATTATTACAGAATTAGATTTAAATTGATTTGGTATCAGCTGGAAATGGTATATTGGGTACGTGACAAGGGAAATAAATAGGCCATGTGGAGTTGTTCGTATTATTTCTGTATTATGCACATGCAAATATTTTTGATATTTGTCAAAGTGTCATAGAATGGAAATGCGTCAAACTCCCTACAATTGTTCAAATACATGTTTCTAAGGTAACAGTAGATTAAGAATATCAAAAACATATCTAATGTCAATTTGGCACATTTGTAGAGGTATAAAATAAAAATTGAAAAGTATTGTTTAGATGGTGAGAGTATATTATTGACTAGAGCTATCACGTAAGGTGATTAGATTATACATAATTCAATCAAAGGAAAATTATAGTTCAGTAAGTTGGTAAACAATGGACCGTAACTCCTAATTAAGTCTTGTAATTTTTTTCAACAGGTATACCAAAACTTGTGTGGACAATAAATCTGTCCAACCTGTTCAGTCAATGTAATGCTCAGCTGAAAATCTAAGGTTATAGCATCCTTAGGCATTTCGTTGTTTTGTTTTTTTTTTTTTTTTTTTTTTTTTTTGTGGAAATGGTAGGAACGATTTATGCATATCTGCAATAAAACGTTTTGAATTAGTCTGCAATTTTTATGTTATTTTGTTGTGATTAATGCTTCCGAGGGATCACATTGTTTCCAGAATTTTAAGTAAACACAGCTTTGTTTATAAATTCACCTATAGGAACAAGGTAAATGCAAAACTGTATATACTAAACAAAGACCCGTTACTATTAAACATTCCCCGTGCTTTGAAAGTGCTTGGTTTTATAATTTGATCTGATATGTATTAAAAATAAAAGCTATAAGATCATCTTCTATGTTGTACTTTCAATCCTTGAGGATCGTTCAACACGACATTATTGTTGTGTACACATGTTATGTGGTATTGTTAGTTTCTTTCAACCTTGGTGGTTCCAGTGTTCCGACTTGAATACCGTATAATCACGCTTAGGATATGTCGCCTGCTTTTTAAATTTGTATTTTGGGGTCTTGTCTCTGATATGCAGGCTTCATAACCTTAGATCTCCTTTCAAAATTCCATTTTATTTTTAAGTCCGCCCATTGTTTTCTCGTTTATGGCACACACATTCTTTTACTCGGAGAACATACGCCGCTTTTCATGGAATGGCATATAGTATCACATTGAAGCTTCTATTATCAATAATAACCGCCGTATATATGCCACATCTGCAGATGTTTCTAAATTCAAAGTTTTACCATTTTTGTGTTTAAATGTTGATTCTGCCTAAGCCGGTGCTTGAGGCGTGGACGGTAACTTGCACTTTCGAGTACCGTCCATGTACAGGCACAATCAAACCGAGCCTACAACATTTTCAATTTTCATTTTCAAGTGTTGGGCTTTCTTTTGGGATTCTGTTTTTCTCTCTATTTTATTGTAGTATTTAGATGACAATGCCCCCGATTGCGCTTTCGAAAATAGTTCAAAGTCATTTAGGCTCATGGTCATATAATTATAAGTCAACAGGAAGTTCTTGTCAAAATGGCTGTTATGTTACAATATGAAGCAAATCCATTTATTTATAACGAATATATGGGCAATGTAAGAGTATCAGAAAATTTGACCTTCAAGTACAAGGTCATTCAGTTGTCAATGTCAAATAATTAAAGTTATGCAGGAAAGGCCTTGTCCAAACGGTTATTGTGTGCAATAAGGTAAGTTCGTGCACTTATAAGGAAGTTATGGGCACTGTAAGATTTTTCAGATAACCTTCAAGTATAGGGTCAGTCAGGGGCAAATGCCACGAAATGATAAGTCAGCAGGATTGTTTTGTCCAATGGAGTATTTTGTCCGAATATGAAGTAAATCCGTACACTAATAAAGAAGTATTGGCCAATGTTAAAGTTTTCGGACGGAGTGTTTTCATTATTGTTCTTTAAGCCACATAAAAGAAAAGAAGCCACATAAAAGCATTGCGGAATGAAAAACACTGAAGGACGGATAGTTCAAAATCTGTATGCCCCCTTCGGGGGCATAAAAACAACACTTAACAAAGGATTGCTACACGTCTGACACATCTATCTCCAAAACAAAATCACTTCAAATTTAAAACAGTGTAAATTCTATTTTGTTATTTCATGGCAGTTTTTATTGTACAGAACCAGTTTTCAGATCGACTTTTCCGAACAAAAAAGATCGAGCTATTATCATAGATTGCCGTTGTTGTCCGAAAAGTTAAACGTTGGTTCAATTCTATTTTATTACGGAAGCTTTTGATTTCATATTTGGACACAATATTCTTTTGGGCAAAAACTTTAAAAGGATAATTATGAAGATGAACTTGATTCCTAAATGACATTGTCCTTAAGAATTAAAATTTCAAAATTGTTTTAAAATGGCTATCACTTTATTTATCGGTGGATTCAATTAATGCTCGGACACAACAACCTTAAATATATCCTCTATCACAAAAAAAAATCTTTTGAAATTTTATTTCTAAAATTTAAACAAAAATGAATTTCCGTAAATTTTCACGTACAAAACATAATTTTTAATTTGTAAAATGAAAACAAAATGTATAGAAATGAAGATATCGAGTTGCAATCAAAATTGACAGAATGACCACGCAGGCCCTATGAAGAAAATACTCTTTATTCTTTTATAAGGTATGCACACATTTTCTTTATGTGTGGTAACAGATACTTTCAATTGGCACCAACCTATATTATTTTTATTGTATTCAAATATAATAGTATAAAAAAAATATGCACTTAATATCTGATTATGTAAACGTACATTTGCCTTGATAGTGTATATTTAATGAGACCACCCTTAAAGAGAGAAATATAATTATGACATTGACACCTTAATGACATTGATCATCAGGGATTGTCCTACATGGTACATAATCTTATTTATAGATGGATTTGATTTATTCTTGAACACAAGTCGTGTGAGATCACCTTCACATGGATTATTATAAATCTGACCTTGACCTATGATTGACCCTGTTCAACCAGCTTGTTTTCATGTTTTGTTTTCTAATTGATGTATATGTGCATGAGAAGCAGCCTGACAGTTACCAGTCTTGCAGCCCAGAGGCCTAGCATACTAAAAGTAAGGAGTATCGCAACCTTATTTAAGAATTAAAAAAAGGTTTTAGACTTTAAGTGATTTTAGGTGGGCAGAACTTAGTTAGATTATAGCAATCAACTAAACTCATTTTCACAATTTGTTACCTGCAAATGAGGCAAACACTGTTGCTGGCCTGTCACACACATGCCACAAAAAAGGAAACATGGCAACAGAATGGAATTTCTTGGTTTATCCATGCATATGGTACACATGTCTGGCTCTACTGGTTCAAGGTCTGCCCGAAAAGTAATCTGTACCATAAAACACTTTAATGAGACTAAAGACAAATTATGTAACTTTCAATACCTTTTTAATTTTATGAGCACGGTTATTAGTTATGACTGATTTGAGACATTTTATTGTTTTCAATAAAGCACTGTAAATGATTCCTAATGAAACTAGATGCTGTTTTTTATCTTTTATTTCCTTTTTTTTTGATAAAAAATGTTTGTCTCCCCCAAAATATCTTTGACTTACGAAGTTAAATGACGACATTGTGAAGATAAAATAAAATACAAGAGGGCCATGATGGCTCTGAATCGCTTACCTGGCTGCTTCAAGTCATATAAGGGCCAATACCAGATTTATATTACTCCCTATAGAGGTCTCATTAAGATTGTTTTGTTCAAGTAAGACTAAAATAATTCAATTAATATCAAAGATATTTGTAAATTTGAAATGTTGACAGTGACGGTCAAGACAATTTAAAGTCAAGAAGGTCACCTTCATATGGATTATTTTCAAGGTTTTGTCCATAGGGATGTTGTGTGCAAATATCAAGTCTAGGGAGTAAAGATGTAACAAGATTATGACAAATGTTTAAGTTTTCAGACGACAGCGGTCTGTAGTGTGGTCATGAAAATCATATTAAACTGGTCATAATAATTATTTTTTTACTGCCAATGAAAGAAAAAAAAACAAGAAGAGCGAAAAAGCTTATCAGATTTGTTTACATCAATGAAATTATAAAACTAATCCAATTGTGATACCTAGATAGTATAATACCTATAATACAGGTCTATACAACATGTTTTGTAGATGAAACGCTGACACGCAATATAAAAATACTGATCTAAATTTTAATTGAATCTTTCTCATCTCGGTTGCTTATTGAAAAACAAAATTACAAATGCGTTTTATCACCAGTTTAATATGGTTTTGAACTTCACCTAAATCATCTAGAAAAAAGCGAAGGAGAATGGAAGACACTTTACTTATTGGTCTAACCTGACAGGCTGGTGATTATACAAGATGATACTTAGATGTTAATAATAATATTATATGATTCTTATAACTTTGGTTCGTATTTTAAATGGCAACAAACGATGTAATAGCGATGCAATAGGAAATCGTTGCGCATTAATTCAACACAAACACATTCAATTGTATTTTCAGTGGTTTTAGAATGGATTCCAGTAGCAGTTCAATGTAAAAAAAACTTGTTTTCAAAAGTTTTAAAAAGTTCTAACTAAGTACATGCAGATAGAAGGTCTCCACTGGTTATATTATGCATCCCATTTCTGCAAGACTTTGCCGGTATGTAGTCTGAAGAGGTGAATGTGTTTTAGAAAAAAAAAGCTTAAAGATCCTGTATGTTTTGTGATTGACATTGTTACTGTGTGTATACCACACTTGCAAAAAAATATATATGTGTATAATTCTGCAAATAAAACAATTTTCAAACATCGAAGAATATGTAAAATGTGAACTGCAAATATTTTTGCACATTATATTTAATCAAAAAAATATATGCATTCATTTCTTATGGGCAAATTTGACGGAGAATTTATAGAAGATAAATTTCTAATTACCTCCCTTTATCTTCATGAAATGTTAAATTCGGTAATATTTTTGTAAATGCTTATTGGAACTTACAATATTGACAAATCTTAATTTGATCATCATTTTTATGAAATAAAACCATGAAAAAAATGTGTTACAGGATCTTTAATGGTATCGCATGGTATCGCGGTAATTAAAGGGTATCGCCCGAATTCCTCGCGTTGCAGGTAAAATGATATGCCAGACGTAGGTAAACTAGTGTATATTAACTAGTGTATTTTGCGTAGCAAATCGTAATCAAATATTTTATATTAAACACTATTTGGAAAAATTGAAGTTCATAAATCATAAACATTTATAATGACTGACATTGATATCATTTTTAGCCTTTTTGTCATAAGGTATTTTGGTGGAGTTCAAGAATGGGCAAGAATGTAGATGGTCACGGACTTTTAGGTCATATTCTTTTGCGTTATTTATTATGAATAGCGGCTAGACGTGGCAAAATGATAAGGCCTGCAGAAAGGAAATGGAAGTGATCTCATGTTTTTGCCGGTGACAAAGGCAATTAAAACAAACACAATTACACACAAACGCACACACACGTACACACATTCGTACATGTACCGTAGATGACCGAATTATAATCATTAATTGTTTTGTTGGGTCTTGATCTCATCAAACACATTGAATGTGCGTAATAAGATTATTAATGAGACTTATTTGAAATTATCAAGATAGATGTGGTATGGTCCAGTGATAAACTTGTCAGACTAGTAATCTAACGATTGCTGGTCGCGTGGGTTCAAACTCAGTCAATGTCAAGTCGTTTTTACTGTTAGCAAATAATTTTACAATCATTGCTTACTGGTTGGTTTTCAGTTCCAGTGTCTTTTCACGCATCGAGCTTCCAAAACGACAGAACTAAAATAAATTTGTATAACCTAAAAATAACCAAGTTGATTTTCTAATTGTATAGCGCTAGTACAATATATACAAAATAAGCAGTCTGATACAAATAAATTTTGTCGGATTTTACGTCAGGAATATTAATTCAATTTAATTGTGACTTTTCAGTATTACTGGTGAAGAAAGACCTCAGGTGCCTCTCCGTACATTATTTCAGGCACGAACGGAAATAAAACCAGTGACGTTCCGTAAATTACCTAGAGTATCTTTCTCATATAAAAAAATATTAAGTATCTTGCGGGATTCGAACCCAAAAGGTGAGGGGCAAGTAGTTGGACACATATACTCAAAGCAATATACTGATTACTAGCTCCATGAAACTGATTTTTAAAAGAAATCTTGTATTTAAAGTCTTTACAGACTCACAGTAATGTAATGATTTCAAATTTCTTATATTTTTTGCCATTAAAAATTTTCCCTTTTTGGGGGAAAAACCCCCTTTGGGCGGGCCCAAAATTTTAAAAATTTCCTTTTCCCTTTTTGGGATTATCAATTTATTACTACCTTTCCTTAAAAAGCCCCGTTGACTCCTGAAAAGTCCCCAAAAATGCCCTTTTTTGTTTCGCAAAACGCAAAATACCGGCCCCTTTTCCCTCATTTTTCGAATGAATAAAACCCGAAAAGGATGCGGGATTTCGGTAAAAACACGCTCAGAAACCTAAAAATGTAAACAAAAAGTTAAAATTTTAAAGCTGAGAGCTGCTGGGCAGGTTTATTTCAAATATATTTGTAAAAGTCCCCCTTTAAAAAAGTGTTATAGGTACAAAAAAAATAAAAACATTATTTATAATTTTCTTAATTTTGGGGGGGTAGGTAACATAAAACCAAGCTGTTGACATTTAGTCGGATTTGTTTAAAATTGAACATCAGTGGGCATTTTTAAATTACAAATTGTTGTCAGACATATTTTCAAGCAAAAGAGTACCGGAACAGAAATTAGATGTCAAATATATACATTCGTTTTACGTTATCTCTGTGTCTGTTTACATCTGAAACCACGTAGTAGAACTACTTTCAATCCGTATTGTTTCCGAGGTTATTATAGATAATAGCCGCGGCAGTTCCAAATGATTTGCTTTGTTATAATACTGCACGTTTGTAACGTCGCTTTTCATTGGATAATCGTGACGTTTATAGATAGTTTTATATACACGGCCGCTGTCAATGTATAAAGAAATCTCAATTTTTTTTTCTTAAAAAAAGGAAGTTTGCAGTATTATAAATTAGTTATATAGATTGTTGGCATTTTATATGGCCGAATATAAATTGTTGTTTGCAACATAACCCTCACCTGGAGGCTCGGGTTATACAAACAACCGTTTATATAGGGCCATATGACCTGTCAACAATCTTTATAACTAATAATTTAAGTTATATCCGTTGTGTTAGATGTACTTCGTGTCCAGGGACATAACATACAACTCACACATGAACGTTGTTATCAAATGTGCGCGTTGACGTTCACGCCATCATCATAATAACTTTAATGTCATGTTGGCTGGATATTGAATCAAACCAGACATTTACATTATTAAAAGCGATTACTAAAAATATTTCAACATTGATAGTTTTATTTTTAACTCCGTATACAATTTTGATATAAGTATTTAATAAAAGGGTTATTTATCGTGTATGATAAAATATGCACTTGTTCTCACGTGGATAATAAAGCACTCCCTACGGTCGTGCAAGATTAACGCTGCTGTGTATATAAATATATAGCATTTCCCGACAAAAATATAACGAAAACCAGAATACACTTTAGGAACTGCGCAAAAAATATTTTCATCAAATGAAATGTTTTAGGGTAATGCATCAAAAGTTTTTGCGACAAGGTGTAATGTATTAGGTATTGCGTCATAATTTTTTTCGAGATAGTGAAATGTATCACGTATTGCGTCTACATGTTTTTCGAAAAAGACCTTTTATTAATTTCTCGTCAAAGTATTACTCGTCATGTGCAATGTTTCTGTTTTTTGCAACAAAAAAATTGGCCAATTAGCTAAACTTTTCTCGTTTATTCGAATTATTTTTTGCGAAAACACTGACAATATCATGCCTTTGCGCCTTAATTTTTTCCACTTGCGTAAATTTTCTCACAAAAGATCGCGTAAGAGGTGACCCTTTGAAGCTTCCGTAATTGAACAATCTTTACATGTTACTGGACAAGACGATTATATTACATGCACACTTGAAAGATTTGTTAAGTCTAAATATTACTTCTCGACTCGATAATCACATTGCTGGAACTAAATGTAAACATTGATGATAATAAGTCAGTTTTTATAGCATATAGTAATGTTTCAATTTTATAGGTATCTATTCAATTCAACACGACGGTACTTGAACCTAAAGAAGGATTGAGGATGGACATTAAAGCTGATCCAAATTCAACGGTGTATGTTATGATTGAAGATAAGAGGAGCAGACTACTGGGTACTGGAAATGATGTGTTTGACAATGAGGTATGGTTAAAGAAGGTCTAATTGGTACAACAGTATTTGGCTCCACGATATAATCTAGCATTTGAGGTCTTCCACGGCTGTATATTCAGAACACCCCATCATGACATTAGCAATGTAGATGTCGGTCCCATTTTTGTCAAAATACTCATGTTTATGAAAGTTGTCCATTGTATATTATATATCTTATTATTCTGTGGATGATATTTTATTTATTTTCTCTCATGTCCTCAGATTGTGTCAATGGTGGAAAACATAGCTTCGTACGTAAGTAGATATTTTGTTACACATAAGATATATTACATGCTATTTCGACCGGTAGTATTCCCACGAGTTCACAGTGAAATGTGTAGAGAAAATATGAACCAAGCAAAAGTAAATAATGTTGGCTATGTACCATGTTATGAAAACGTTCTTGACAAACGTATGAATTTATCTTCTATACAAATACATGTATGTTACAACTCGAGCGAGCCAGATATTGAAATATGGATGTATGTATTACTGTAGCTTGCTCCAAACGCTGTACAGTTTCAAGTTATGTTTTGAAATTTTATATATTCACAATGTTTGCCATTTTCAATAGTTTATGTGAGCATGTTAAGATAATCGCACTAAGGTAAGACACCAAAACATATATGCCTGCCGCAGTTGACAACCTTTTGTTTGGGAATTGGAAAAGAATAATTTTAAATACAAACTGATGAAAAAATATGTTGGATTGAAATTTACTTTTTAGCGAATGACGCATACTCAAAATCATTGCTAAAAAAGAAACCCTTCTTGAAATAGCAACGTATTTAGTTTCGGAACATTTTATTCTGGTTACATACAATATTAATATACATTGTTTTTTTGTATATTGAATAAAGGAAAAAAAATCCTATATTACAATTCTTCCCAGAAACGACTGAAAGGTTATGAAAACAACATAACTTTACCATTTTTTAAATTAAACCCCCCCCCCCCCCAAAAAAAAAAAATATATATAATAAAACACCATTTCATTGCATTAAGCTTTAATATGGGTCTAATATAAACAATTAACTTTACAGTTATATCAATAAGCATAAAACAAATTTAATTTGTAATAAATTTGTATTGATCAAATGTATTTTTCATTAGGATGATGATGTGGTAATGCTGTCAGATATACCTATATTTACCAAGACCAACGCCATGGATTTACTGATGTTTAATACAAATCTTCCTAAACAGTGTATGTATGTTGATTTCCTTGGTTTAAGTCTTTTTACACACATATATATTTTCAAAAGCTTTTAAAATATTGAATACAATACATTTTATTTTTCAAAGTTTATATATTCGACGACCCATATATGTCTATATCGTACAACTGTTTTACTTTTTTGTATTTTATTTACAATGACATTATTATTATTAACCAGGTTTTCCGAAGGAAAAAACTGGTTATTAGATTGAGGTATGTCGGCGGGCGGATGGGCGGGCGGGCGGGCGGGCGGGCGTTAACAATTTCTTCTGTGCGCAACTCCTCCTACATTTCTCAACGGATTTTGACCAAACTTTCACAGAAGCTTTGTCATCAAGTGCCCTGGCGCATATTGTCGGGGTTTTGCCATTGGATAATATTTGACCTAATTATGGCCCTTTGTTGTTTTTTCTTATATAGAATATATAGTGAACAATTTCTTCTGTGCGCAACTCCTCCATCATTTCTCAACGGATTTTGACCAAACTTTCACAGAAGCTTTGTCATCAAGTGCCCTGGCACATATTGTCAGGGTTTTGCCATTGGATAATATTTGACCTAATTATGGCCCTTTGTTGTTTTTTCTTATATAGAATATATAGTGAACAATTTCTTCTGTGCGCAACTCCTCCTATATTTTTCTACGGATTTTGACCAAACATTTACAGAAGCTTTGTCATCAAGTGCCCTGGCACATATTGTCCGGGTTTTGCCATTGGATAATATTTGACCTAATTATGGCCCTTTGTTTTTTTTCCTTATATAGAATATATAGTGAACAATTTCTTCTGTGCGCAACTCCTACATTTCTCAACGGATTTTGACCAAACTTTTACGGAAGCTTTGTCATCAAGTGCCATGGCACTTATTGTCCGGGTTTTGCCATTGGATAATATTTGACTTAATTATGGCCCTTTGTTTTTTTTCCTTATATAGAATATATAGTGAACAATTTCTTCTGTGCGCAACTCCTCCTACATTTCTCAATGGATTTTGACCAAACTTTCACAGAAGCTTTGTTATCAAGTGCCCTGGCACATATTGTCAGGGTTTTGTGATTGGATAATATTTGATGTAATTATGGCCCTTTGTTTTTTTCCTTATACAGAATATATAGTGAACAAATTCTTCTGTGCTGAACTAGTCCTACATTTCTCAACAGATTTTGTTCAAACTTTCACAGAAGCTTTGTTATCAAGTGCCCTGGCGCATATTGTTAGGGTTTTGTGATTGGATAATATTTGACCTAATTATGCCCCTTTGTTTTTTTTCCTTATACAGAATTATCAATATATAGTGAACAAATTCTTCTGTGCTGAACTAGTCCTACATTTCTCAACAGATTTTGTTCAAACTTTTACAGAAGCTTTGTCATCATGTGCCCTGGCGCATATTGTAGAGGTTTTGTGATTGGATAATTTTTGACCTAATTATGGCCCTTTGTTTTTTTTCCTTATACAGAATGCATTTTTTCCTTATACAGAATATACAGTGAACACTTCTTCTGTGACAATTCCTCCTACATTATTCATGTTTTACATTGCATATAGTTACATTGTTTATTGCTTGCATTTGTATTACAAATACAACATATTTATCTACAATGGAGATAATTTAAAACCTGGTTTCGTGGCATTGCCATGTTTCTTGTTACTTTACTGTTATACTTCGTTCTTTGACATTGATATAATGTAGATATCATCTATCACTTTGGAGAGATAGATCGTTGTCATATGATTTTATTTCTTATGATAAAAATTGCTATAGTGTTGTGTTGGCAGCATCAACAATGCATTAATATTGATCCCGTGTAGTTCGACATCTTAACTAAATCGGGAGAAAAAAATGCTTTCTGTTGATGCTATTATTATTATGTAACATGTCAAATTAATTCATGAGGCAAAATATTTCTCGAAAAGTTTATGTTTTCATTCAACGCACTATTTTTCTGTTACAGGTTTTCATATCACTACTCCACCTCCACGTAAGATTGTAGCTTATAGTATATAGTTTAGTTTATTAGATATTTTACAAAATTTATATAATATTTAAGTTATATATGCATATTTATTTCTTTTTAAAGTTTCATTAAAGTACATGTACACTCAAGCTCTGTTTATAATTAATTTAACTTATATACAATTTAAATTGATTTTATAAGATCCAACTTTAGCTGATAGAAATAAAACAAATGCTCAACAAATGAAAGAACAAACAAAATCATATAATTTACTTTCTCTTTGCAGTACATGTAACTTTCCCAACTTGGAGTAAGTTCATTTATGATAACTTGAGTTGCATGAGTGACTTTATCAATTTTACAAAATACTAAAATCATCAACAAGACAGAGGCAATAAGTCCATATATTTAACCAAACACCCACCCCTTTAAGCATATGTTATCCGCTGCCATACCTTTTAATATTTGTTATAAAGTAATTCTTGCGTTAAAGAAACTGCGCTAAGGTCCAACAATTTCCTTCATAGATCAACTAAGACACTTAAGGCGCTAAGATATGCAAAATATGATAAAAATTATACCCATAAGTAAATTGAAAAAAGTATTTTTGTGCCCATGCTACCCACTTTAATTTGCGTTTGAATGGGATAATAATGTTTTTAGTTTTTCCTCTTTCATCTTATTATATAGAATATTTTTTAATCAAAACTTTATATTTTTCAGTACCTGGAATGGTCCCCACTCCTGCACCAGGTAAAGATGTTGATATTAAAACAAAGTCAGTCCCAAAATGCCGTTGAAAATCAATGATTTATTATATGCATGTATTGTTCATTTATATTTCATAATGAATTAACTTCGGAGTAGCTTAATGTATATTGTACAGGTTTATATATCTCAGAAAAATTATAACGTTACATACAAAATGTACATTCAGTTATATATCTCTATTCAAGTATGTTTAATTTGAATATTATGCTCACAGCTGTAAAATTAAAAATCACATATTTATATTTCATTATATCACAAACATCTAAATATCAAGTTGGAATATTTTCATGGATGCTTTCATATAGCATATAACATTAATGCATTCTAATGATTATTTATCTACTATTTACAGGTGCTGGTTTTGGATCTCCATGTAAGCACCAATAGAAATTATTTGTATCTCATTAAATTTAACAAAATGAAAATTAACATAAATACTTTACAAATAAAAGAGTGTCGTAATGTAACTGTTTTATAGGACAAGAAATTGATACAACTGACTTTATTCTTGACAATGTAAACATACTTGACCAAATTGAATTGTATTTGTTTGTTTATTTTTTGTTTAAATGATTGTTTGTTAAAAGTATCTTCCTAATTCAAAATATTTCACATTTTCTTATATTTTAGATAACTTTCCAACACCACCACCTGGTAAGAAATGATAACTTTAAAAATGTCTATTAACATTTTTGTATATTTTGTATTAAAGTCCTTTATGCCCATCTAGGGGTATGAAATTAGTGAACAGGTGAAAGATAAAATAGGTTTACAATTTGCCATGATTCTTTCAGTTTTATAATTTACCTCGCATCAGCGATAATAACTCATGTGGGCCAAGAAAATTTCTGTAAATATCCATCAGAATTTATCTGTAACATTCAATTTAAAAAGACCATTTCTGAAATGGTGTCTAATTAATAAAACAGGTCGGTTGTGATTTTTGTGAACGCGGGTTACCTAAGACTCAACAATAGAGGCAGTGACAGAAACATTTTTTACTGAGAATTATAGACACATGTGTCCTTCAGAATGCAAACTATTTTAAAAATCGAATATGCTCTTCCCTACAATAAAAATAAAATCCCACCTTATTCGTTTTCAAAGTCCGTCAGTGTATATATGTTTTTTTTTATTGCAATTAAAAGCCATGGAGTCTACTTATTTTTTATCTAAAAAAATGGAATAAAACGCTGAACTTAAAGTGGAATGAATGATCTTCGTAACTTTGTAAATGAACTTTTTTGTCCTGACATAATAACAACTAGATCTAATGTAACAGTGAAAGTCATTTCAATTTAATTCAATAAAATTAGGATTCATAATTTCATAATCTTTTTCTATTGAATTTTGACTGAGTTGCTCATTATATCTCAAATTGAGACATTATTTTATAGAATTAGAGTCACTTTGTCTATAGAATAATGGCAAGGGGTGGAGTATTGTGAATGCAATATTGTATGTGGTCATTATATATACCTCTTTGTATCGAATAGTGTTGCAAAGCAATGGCCTAGAGACATCTCAGATGTTAGTACGACTGATATTCACAAAGACTGGAATTCTGCGAGAATAATATTAACATTATCTTTTGTTAGATTTACTTCAAGAACATAATGTTGTCCCCCGACCTTGTTTAACGTGACTATATGTCTTACTTTTTAATTGTTTTCTTTCTTATTTTACGACCAGGTAGAACATATTGGCCAGGTGAGTCAATATTTGCCACTTTAGTCACTTGTAGTAAATATTCTAACTTTATATAACAAATTTAGCAGTAACACAATGTATTCAGTATAAGCAGTCCCAAACATACTTTGGATGCTCTAACTTTACAAAAATAAATAAAAAAGTGTATATACAAATGTTAATATAATTTACATTCAAACGAACGTGTTTTTTTAAAACTGTATTGTATACAATGAATATTACTCACAAATTAGATTTTAATACCTTGACTAATTAACGTATAATAATGGACGAAATATCCTTCAAAAAATCAAAACAAAACAAAAAATAATATAAAAAATAAAACAATCGGAAAAGTTTGTTTGCATCAATGTTTGACAATCATGTAATGCATTCTGCTCATGGCACGTTCCTGTATATAACATGTCATCACTTATTTTTAGGGGGACAAACTACTGTCACTACAGGTATTTCTGTCTAAAATTATTATATTCATTCAGATTGAAAATTTCAAATATAATAGTTCTTTTCCAAACAGCGACTGCAAGTTTAAAAGAATAGTTATGTTGTCATTTATTTGAAGATGTTTGTATTTTAGAAATAATCAATATCTATCAAGCCTTATACAATAAGCCATAAACACAATATTTTTTTCTTTTTCAAATATAACGTTCATTTACATAATTTGAAAGAATGTTTTTGTGAAATTTGAGCAACACCTTTTATTAAGTTTCATTACTGTAACAAAAATTATGACGAATTTTATAGTTAGGACATATTATATGCATAATAATTTAATAATTTATACTCATGTTTGCTAAATACCATTATGTATTTGTTAGAACCTCCTCACATTGTTGCTAAAGAATTTATCCGACTGCGGTTTCCCGAGACATGGTTGTGGGAAGAACATCACGTTGGGTAAAGTTACGGTCCTTTTTTAATCTATCATGAAAATAAAATTTCAAGTTCTTTATTTGGCAAGTCTATTTGGCGTATCATGAAACGAAAGACGACATGTTCGTTAACTCAAATGTATATTGGAATAAATGATAAAATCATACATTGTTGACAGAAACATGACAATAAAACTACCAATCTAGTTTATTTTTTAATTCAATACATGTATTTAATGTGGGTGGCATTATTATCGTAAAGATTGATTTAAACATTGTTTAATGATTAGAAGAAATAAGTACAAAACGATCTATCTGGTTTATTCTTCCAGTCAATATTAACTGTGGATAACATTATTGTAATTAAAATTCAGCCATTATTCGTGTTAATTGGGATTACATTGAAATGTGATACAGCTTTAAATGATTATATGGAATACATTGTATATTTGTGTTATATGATAATATACCTGCAGGTCTTCTGGTAAAATCTCCATCAACCAGACCGTTCCAGATACGATCACCACATGGATAGTTTCAGTATTTGCTACAAACAGCATTTCTGGTTTCGGAATATCTGATGTCAAACAAAATGTAATCTTGTTTATATTTACATTTGTCGTATACATTTTGCTTGATAAGTTGAACTGTTTTAGTTATGTAATCCATAGAAATGTTTAAGTTTTTAAAGCAAGTATCATTATTTTTATTGTTGCTGTTGCTGGTTCTACGTCACAACAACACGTATGAGGTCATATGGCGACTTCCCAACTTGATTGGGGAAGGATATACACTGTCATTTCTTACAAGATTATGATCGACTTTACAAGCTTAAAATAAATATTTATTATAAACTAAAGAATGATATTATTAGAGGCTTGTTTAAGTACAGTCTTTTAATAATTTCTTCATGTTTACATGCATCTTATTTTAAAGATAACTGTCAAGAAAGACTTCTTTATTACCGTGGATATGCCATCATCAGTTATAATTGGCGAAGAATTTATTGTTCAAATAACAGTGTTTAACTACATGACTCTTCCGCAAACGGTAAATGTTTTCTTAAGTATATTTTTTTCAGAACGCGACGAATCATGAACATCATTTGCTGATTTGTTTTAAACAAGTGCCAGTAGAAAAGTCTTGCAACATATATTGTGAGATATAACTGATAGCCGGTGTAACCTATTGCATATGAAATATTTTTTAGTAGAGGCCTATCGTTCAGGTAACAGTCCTACACGGGCTGCCACCATGTTTCCTCATGTGACACCAGTACTGGTTAGGTCCAGGAAGTTGATTAGGTAGTGATTGATATGCGCTGCATTGGCTTGTTTCATAATCGAGCTTACATGAATATGTTTCAGAAACAATTTGTTATGCAGATGATTTCCCAGCTAAGGGATGCCATTTCATGAACGATCTGGAAACTGATTTAAAAGACATTAATACCTTTTTTATTTGCCAAATACACAACATTTATAGATATAGAGGATATTTGTTTAGTTCAGTGTAAGATCGGAATATATTTCACCGAATGAGCACCAAAAGGTATATTTGCGCCACGAGTGAAATATGAACTTTTGGTGTTCACAAGGTGAAATATATTTCAATCTTACACTAAACTAAACAAATTTTCTTTTTATTATATGCAAAGAAACGTTTTAAAAAGACATTTAACCTAATACTGAATGAAAAGCGCGCCAAATAATAATATAAGGGGCTTAAATTCAAAACAGTGATATTATCAAAGTGGTAATTTCACTGTTTCAAACAGTGAAATTACCATTTTATATCACTGATATATAGAGGATATTTGTTTAGTTCAGTGTAAGATCGGAATATATTTCACCGAGTGGGCACCAAAAGGTATATTTCACGAGTTGCGCAGCCACGAGTGAAATATGTACTTTTGGTGTTCACAAGGTGAAATATATTTCGATCTTACACTAAACTAAACAAATTTTCTTTTTATTACATGCAAAGAAACGTTTTAAAAAGACATTAAACCTAATATTGAATGAAAAGCGCGCCAAATAATAATACAACGTGACGTCATTTACGACGTCACGTCATTAAGTTGGTACCCAGTACTGTGCACGCTGGTATTTCACTGAAACAACGTAAGGGGCTTAAATTCAAAACAGTGAAATTATCAAAGTGGTAATTTCACTGTTTCAAACAGTGAAATTACCAGTTTTATATCACTGATATATTTCTATAAACCACCGAAAAGCATGTAATAAATTTCTATAAACCACCGAAAAGCATGTAATAAGAAATAATACTTCTATTTTCAATACTGAGATACGTAGAAAGTTATAGTTACAGATAATGTACGCTTTATTGTTTATCTGAACAGATTCAATAAAATTTTGAATAATTAGGGTCTTATCTTATCATCACTTATCTCGGATGTTCTCACAATACCTAAATAATTATAACTGTATTCTAGGTATTTCTTCAAGCTGTCCAGTCCGATGATCCTAACAATCTTATTCCAGCAGCAACGACGGTAATAACCATTATACATATTACTTTTATAAACCACATAATTTCTAAGTGTAATTAGTCCCCTACCGGTTTACCGGAGGGGACTTTAGGTTTACCCTCCGTCCGTCTGTCCGTCTGTCTGTCCGTCCGTCAGTCCGTCCGTCTGTCCGTCCGTCCACAAAACTGGATCCCGCAATAACGCAAAAAGTACTGAAAATATTTTAATGAAACTTGATATATGGATTGATGGCAGTATGGAGATTATGCACGTCTTTTTCTTTTCTTCCTATGTTGAAAATTCTGGTTGCTATGGCAACAAATAGACTGAAAATATGGCAAATTTTACACATAACCTGGATCCAGTGAAAATGCAAAAATTACTGAAAATATTTTTATGAAACTTGACATATGGATAGATGGCAGTATGGAGATTATGCACGTCTTTTTCTTTTCTTCCTATGTTGAAAATTCTGGTTGCTATGGCAACAAATAGACTGAAAATATGGCAAATTTTACACATAACCTGGATCCAGTGATCATGCAAAAATTACTGAAAATATTTTTATGAAACTTGACATATGGGTAGATGGCAGTATGGAAATTATGCACATCCTTTTTTATCTTCCTATGTTGAAAATTCTGGTTGCTATGGCAACAAATAGACTGAATTTCAAGATTTCTGATTCTAGTTTTTAAGTTTTTTCACTATAAGTTCTTTATTTCTTAAGGTATTTTCTTCAAACTTTAAATATAAGTTGCTTGTCATCAACCACATCATATGTGACAAGGTTTACAACTCTAGCACAAAATTTATCAGAATTACCTCCCTTGAACTTAAAATTTTCATGAAAAAAACATTGGTTTTTTTACTTCTTTTTCTGAATGTATCTACTTCAAACTTTATATAAATGTTTCTTATAATGTCACTCAACATTTTTGAGTGTTCAATACTCTAGCAAGACTATTTCCAGAATTATGCCCCTTTTGAACTTAGACTTTTTTTTGAGAAATTGTTAATTTTTACTCCATCTTCTTCAATCATGTTAGGATTTTAAAAATGTTATATTTTGATAACAGGGATGTTTAAAAAATAACTTTAGAGTGTCCTTCAGTCTGTCTGTCTGTACATAAAAACTGTTTCCTGTGATCACTTTTAAAGAACTTTTTCAACAAATTGGCCAATGGCCCTTCAGAATGTTGCTTGGGCTCTTACCGGTAGGGGACTTATGGATTGCTTGCAATACTATGATAATTGCTTGTTTATAATAACATTGTACATATTCAATGAACTTTCGAGTCCCTTATATAGAACGATAATACGATATTAAATGATCTCAAAGTGTTTTAATAAAGAAAAGGTAAAAGAAAAATTAAGAAAGCATTTTTAAAATCTACCATTTTATTAGGTCCCACCAAATGAAGGCCGCTCTACGCATGTACATGTTAGTCCTAAACATGTTGGAGTTTTAAAAGTCAAAGTTTTTGCAAGAACAGGTTTCTTTAAAATATCAACAACTGATGCAGTAGAAAAAGAATTAATGGTTATGGTGAGATAAAATTAACTCGTTTTCATTTTTGTCCAAATGGTCGTATTCAATTCGTCACATGCGACAATTAACACCTCTGTGATAGGTGAATCAAATAATTTACGAATATGCAAGCTAAAGATACTGTGACATTGTATTGAAGTTATTTTACATAATAAGGTTAGAGAAAAAATGTAAGAATTTGTCTGCTTTCAGAAAATTTTATACAACCGTATTATGACTACTGCTAAAAGAAAGCATTTATAGTTTATTTTAATAGTTTAACTTACAAGTATTCGGGAACTGAAAAAAGAATCATATTTAATTGCAACATGACATTGATAGAAAGCTAATACATTTATATGGAATTAAATTTAATGCGGACCGTTTATAAAATGATTGAAACGTGTAACAATACATTTTGAACATTTATAAACATATGGATGCACTAGTGATTATCATTCAATCATAATACAGCATACTGGTGTGCAAAGGACAACAAATGAACAACTTTTAGTTGATGTCAATGGCGGCAAGACATTAACCCAAACATTACCACTGGTAAATCACCCTGATTTGATACCTGGTACCAAAAAGGTGTACATGAAAATATCAGGTAGGTTTTTGGAATGAAATATCTACATGTATTACATGACTTGCTGTGTCATATTGATTTTCAATATCAACACATTTTTGTATTGTATTGATGAAGACAAGACAAATCCATACTTAATAAATGTACATGTTTTGAAAGCGATGCATTCTTTTGCTTTGCATGTTACTACCGATCTTTGTTACTGTATTATTTCGTGACCAGAGTAGTCAAACGCACCCATGAATGTTTGAAATTAATGGACACACAATTAATGATTGCATTCTGGTAAATTCGCTACGGCAGCATCATACATTACAATACTTCACTCAATGCATTAGTTCAATAAGACCTACCTTGAAATATATTTATCCATGTCATATTTGGAGAAGAAAACTTGGGTTCTTATTCTACTAATTAACTGATTAGAGTTCAATAATTGAAACATTATTTCTTTTCATATATAGGCGACTTTCTTGTGCCAAATACGTTTGGGCTAGAGAGGTTAATAAGTGGGCCTGATGCTGGAGCCGAACAGGGTTTGGTGGATATAGCGCCCAATGTGATTTTAATGAAATATTTGAGTATCACTGGACAGTTGACAAAAGCCGTGGAAACTAAAGCTTTAAACTTAATAAGATCTGGTTTGTTCACTTCATTCCATTAATGCTTCTATTTTGCTTTTGTTTCAGAAAATGTGGTCTTTTGTTTAATAAAAGTATGACATATACACATTTCCAACGTCTGATTTTTTTGTTCAAAAAATATTTTGATTTTTTTTCATAAACTTTGTAAGTCTTTCATAATAAGTTGCAAGACTGGTTTTGTTAAAAATATTGTATTTGAACAATAAAATGATTAATCAAGTTTGAAATTACACTTTTGAATGAGAAGTGTTTGTAAATGATTTTTTTTATGATGTAAACAGATTTCATGATTTGAAAGTAAGTGGTATGGACAATTTTGTAGTTGTTTTATTTTTTCTGACAGGTTACCAAAATGTGCTTGCATTTAAACGCGGTTATGATGGTTCCTTTGCACTGTCAGGAGAAAGTAGTAACTATAGCAGCATGTGGTAATATTAACATTAAGTTTCAATATGTGATGCACCTTTTAACAAACTAGTGGTGGCCTAGTGATAAGATGTCAGCTTTTTGCGTCTGAGCCATACTCTTGTCATGACCATGCTTTCTTATCATCATACTTAGTAATCTCTTACAATTCTACTTCAGAATGGTTATGAATAAATTTTATCTATTGTTGTAATGAATTGTAAAATGATTAGATTAAAAGATACACGTAGATATGACATGAGTGCTGGTTAGTTTCATGAAGACGACTCGAAAGTGAAAAATAAAATCCCAAAGAACTTTTTTCGCAACAATATTTAAACTAAACTAAACCTTTGTTGAAGACTACATTTTCTTTAATTATTTTTGGTTTAGCAATATTTTTTGCATTTATACAAATACATCAAATATACACATTTCTACATTATACAGTCGTATTGAGCTAAAGGTGTCTGTAACATTAATGAATCCTTGTACTGATGCAGTTATAGTGTTGATAGCTTATACTTTACAATATTTGGAATGAGTTAAGATGATATCGAAAAAGTTATATTACAGAATAAATATTTTTTCATTGCCTAGGTTAACTGCTTTCGTGCTGAAGAGTTTTCATCAAGCAAGAGATCTTATTTCTGTAGACAATGATGTTATGTTTAGAGCAATGGTATATCTGTTAGGACAACAGAATAACAATGGTTCTTTCACAGAGTCGACACTTTACACTAATGTACGTTATGTTGTAGTTTGATTGTAGTGTTTAAACATAATTTTAGAAATTATAACTTAAATCTCATAAATCTGTATAAGTATCATTTTTTGTTATTTATAATTTAGCATAATTTGAAAGTGAAATATATTTTTGCTCTTGTGAAATTTTTGTTGTTGTTTATTTCCCTTATTGAACTTTTTTAAAATTATTGATGCATAATTAACTACTGAAGGTAGTCACTTGAATCTTAATACATTTAGGATAAAATGGGATACCACTTAGTCATTTAATGAAATACAACATTTTGAGAAATTAGTGGTCTATATCAAAAACGCTTAACTATGTTATGTATTCTTTTTAAAAATCTTTTTTTCGTTAATTACTACTCGATCCAGGCACTTGTTTTTTAACTATAAGCACTGAGAATATTCGAGCGCGTTGTCCTACTGACAGCTCTTGTTTTTAACGACTTGTTATCAAGCAGGTTATATTAATTTCAGCATGACAAGGAAAGGACAACACTGCAAGTTACAGCATACTGTCTAGTTACAATAAAGGAATGCGGAGACTTAGTGAATGTAAATGATGCCATATGCTGATGTCACATACATTAAAATATGCTTTAAATTATTCTTATTATTATTTAGTTTTACTAATCTCCCTTGCAAGTATGATATAAAAGTTATCTTTATTTCTCAAATTAATTGTACCTTAGCTTTCATGGCATTACATTTTAACTCACCTACCGTTAAAGAAAGTTAATTTTTCTATGACTAAAATACATGTAAAATAAATCAGAAAATGAGTTTGAGATTCCTAAACGTCCTTTCCAATATTTTTGTTTTGATTTTAGCCTGTGAGGCTGTCCCCTGCAATTACAAAAGGACAACAATATTTGGAAAGCCAATTGTCTACTATTACTGATCCCTATACACTATCTATCGTATGTTATGCACTTGCGAAGTCAGGGAGCTCGAATGGAACCACGTGTTATAAACAATTGGCTGCTTCAAAACACGCAGAAGGTATATTGAAATCAAGAAAACACTGAAAACGAATATTTTGTTTTCTTGTTTTATCTTACATTTATTTTTCCAATAAATATCTAAATATATGTCGATTATGAGAATTTATCTATTCCAATAACATCCCAGATACTACAATACCTTTGATTTCACATGTAATTACCATTCCATTGTCTATGATTTTCAGGCGTGGAATCAATTGTGTGCAAAGATTTCTCGTTAACTTATTTTGACTGTTTTTAAGATGGATATGTTTATTGGCCGGAATCATCTCAGGCTATCGGTCACATGAAGTACAATAGTCAGCAACAATCCAGTAGTCCTGCTAAAGATGTAGAGACAGCAGGGTATGCAATGCTCACATTTATCGCGCTTGGGTTCCAAGCAGAGGGATTACCTATTCTGAAGTGGCTTATTTCCCAAAGGAACTCACGTGGAGGATTTTTATCTACCCAGGTTTGCTATGAATTACTCTAAACATTGAGCGAAAAGATGTGAAAGGAATTTAAATTCTAACAGACAGCCAATCATATTCGTGCAGGACATTTAGGGGAAATACGTTTATTATGATGTATTGGCATGAAAAATAAAATTAATTATTTAATTTTACCCATGAAAATGGTGCTGTATCAGTCAAATATACTTGAAATACAAATATGAAAGTGAGTGGTGTCATAATTCAAATTTATTTTAAGGGAGTAATTTTCAAAATACTTTTTCCGTAATTTCAGCTATTTTTTCATGTCTAAAAATTATAATAATGGGTACAATTAATAATAGATACAATGTTTTTTTTCAGGACACAGTTGTAGCAATACAGGCACTTGCAGAATACGGAATTATCCAAGCACATGTTACGAAACAGTCGAGGATACAAATAAATGCTTTTGGAATTGGCTTCATGCACTCATTTAATGTAACTCAAATGAAATATGATTCCGTGCACCAGATCGAGGTAATACATTACATGACATAATTGTGGATCGTCATCTTAGCGAAGAGGATAAAATGGCGTTTGTGTATATTTTAAGTTATACAAGTAAACGATGGCTAGAGCCTCGCGTCATGCTATTTGCTGTCGTATTTCCTGTCAGCAACTTACGAATTAATGATAATGCATATTGATTTTGGCGGTAAGTTCATGGGAGAAAACAGACAACATCATTCGACGGTTTTCATTGAAGCGGCGGGGAAAAGACACGCGCAGAGAAGTGCATTGAATGTCAACGAACAGTGCACTTAAAAAGAAACATTCAAGTATATGATAATCATTAAAGTGTAACTTTTCACTTTGTTAGTGAACACGCAATTATAAATGCGCACGCCTTGTTAGCCGTAAATGATGCAGAAATACTCACGCGGTTACGGTATATACGGCATATTATAATACTGCATGTTTGTAACATTGCTTTTCATTTGATAATCGTGACGTTTATTTAAACTAAATACACCGTTGATGTCAATTTAGGAAGTAATTTCAGTTTTTCTTAAAAATTGAAAGTTTGCTGCATAATTATTTAGTTATAAATGATATAATTATAATTTAGTTATAAGTTAAATTATGGCTCTTTAATATAACCTGACCCGTTATGCAAACAACCGTCTATTATTGGTCAAATTTTTTTTATAACTAATAGTATAAATTAGTGTTTGAGCCAATCATAATTCGAGAAAGCCATTTGCATTATTATATTAATATGAATGTATACTTATTTAAGATTAATTTACGTTGATGTATCAATAACTAAAACACTTTGTCTAGATAACATAACTTATCTTTGGAAATATAACAGTGTGACTCTGATTTATTTGGATTTTTTTTGTTGTTGAGGAGTTTTGGGGGTTAAAATCACACTGAAATAAAATAAGTATAAAATCACAGTAAATATGTGTTTAGATATACTGGAACACGATTTGTATCCCACCATCAGCATGTCTCGAGCATGAAAACTATTCGAAATTTAATTATCTTGTGTATGCACTTTAAACGAAACATTTGTCTTGCTTTTTGATGAATCGTTTTAACAAGGTGTGATAAGCATAAGAGTATGATACAAATTATTTGTTTGATATAAATCACATTTCTGATACAAATATTAAACTCACTTCTACTATTACAGATGCCAGCAAACTTACAGAATGTAGTTATACAGGCTGCTGGAGAAGGAATAGCTGTTGTTGATGTGAGAATTTTATTTTTCGGTTACACTTTTACGACAATTCTTATAATAGCTTTGTCTCATGAATTATAAATTAATATACAGCGCATTTTACAACAAACTATTATAAATATATTGCATCATTTTTTTTCATACAAGAAGTGTGTGTAAAGATAACAAACTCAGAGCCCATAATTGCTAGTCCTTAACTGCCTTAAATTATGACTTCGAATATTTTGTTTTCAGGTTGCTCAATCATACTATGTTAACAGTAGCAGCAGTAATGGAACTTTCATCGCTGTGGCATCAGATTTTGAGCAAGATTCGCTAAATACACTGATCTTGAAGACCATTGTAAGGTAAAATGGAATAGTAAGCAAACGCTTAATCAGAGTGTTTGCTGGGATAAGGATTCGAGAAATTTTGATTTGATATTTAACCTTTATCCATATGAAACTGTGACACTTTGAAATTGAAACGCTCAATTTCAGGGTTAAAGTATTAAAAATTAAGAAAATATACTCTGTCCGCTGCTCAAATACAAATCCTGGGCATGGCTACCTTATGACGGCATAGGGTTTGGTGTCATCATTGCTAGCTCTCAAAAGGGATGACAAATCGTGCAGACTATATCTTTTTTCTTATTGATGTTGTCAGGTTTAATAAATCGCCCATTCTCAATAAAATAAAGCATTTGAGGTTGAAAAATATTAAAAATTTGATGTTGTCATTGTGTAATTTTTTATCGCTGAAGTAAAAGTTTAGGGTGCTTTGCAAGTTTGCCAGAAATATTTTGAACAAGAAACTATGATATAACAGGATGGCATTTATTTCGGTAATGACACTGTATTTCTTCGGTAACGTAGATTTCAGATCTAATAATGTAACATATTGGCTGCATATTAATAACAAATGTCTGTAAAATATATCAAAATCTGTAAATTCTCTATCTAGAGGGACTTTCTAACCCAGGAAAATTCAAAGAAGTTGGGTACCTTGCTAATTTTCAGTCAATTTCTTCAAAGTTAAATATTCGTAGAAAGCAAAAATAGTCAATTTTGGAAATGATTATTTTATGTCTTCATTCAAAGGATATATATCATATATAATATATGAGAGGTCGAATGCATACACAAATTTTGTATTAGCAATTTTTTTTCAAAACATTCAACTTTCCACTTTCTTAATATTTGGAAAATTTAGTACTAAGCAGTTCTATATTTATTCCCATATAGGATATCACGTATGTTTCATTTTATTCAAATGCAAGTAAAGGTTGAGAAAACAATTTTATTTTTTGTAAAATAATTTATATTTATGGATATTATTTTAACATTATTATTATAGAATGAAATACGGCCAGTAAGCTCTTTGCAGAAACGAATTAGTTGTTGCTGAGAACATCAATATCTTGTAATATATTTTTAACATTTCTGCTGGTATATCAACATATTATTAACATATCTTTCCTTTGTAAAAACAATTTTGTGTCTTCTTACATCTAATACAAGGTAACCGTTACTAACAGGCATGCTTATCCCAACTTTATCTTTAATTTTCAAAAATTGTTGAATTGTAAGTTGGAGTAACGTATGTTTCACACTCGCTTATTTATGAACTTTATCACGGAATTGAAACTTATATGTAAAATCGACTTTTTTTATTTAGGAATCACATGCACATCATTATTTTGTCATAAAAATGCGATTTTATGTTTTTATATATGCATGTGTAAACAATATAAAGTCTGTTTGATAAAGTAACGTTTGTTTCACTGTGGTTACTTAAACAAGTTAAAACTCGACCAAAGTTAACACAATTTACTTACTAATGTCAAATAGAAGTTAATGTTGCTGTTATACGTGCTTTCTGACTTCAATTTCCCTTTTGATAAACTTACTTTAAAAAGTTGATAACGTATGTTTCTGTAACGTATGTTTCATTTTTACATTGAAAGTGGGTTAAAAAATGACGCAAGACCGTTTAACCCGCCATAATTTGTGGTTAATATATCAGAGTTACACACATGTTAATTTTCTTTCTTGTTTGGATTCTTCTTTGAATGGATTGGCTCTTAAATTATGGTAACGTATGTTTCTTTTTAAAATGCTGCTGAAAAGATTTGAATAAAAAATGAAAATTTCCGAAAATACAATTGATATTTGAGAGGCTGCAAGCTTATTTTTACTTATAATTATATATATGCTGTATTATTAAGCATGCATCGATTCAATTATGTAATTTCGGTTTCACTTCTTATTGTTTTAGGTTTGTCACTATTTATTTATATGCATTTGGCGACATTTGATCATCCATTATATAAATGAGATTTTAACAGTCAAATATATTTTTTACCAATAATCAAAGTTCATATACACACAGCAATGACTAATTACACATGTTTCGTTTATTCTGGAACTTATTTTTCTGAAACACAATTTCAAAGTTGAAAATTCTAGGTGGCGACAGTAACGTATGTTACATTTTAGGGCATTAATGGTACTTGTAAAAGAAAAATAACAGATAGAAATGTAAAACTGAGAGTGTCCCTATTAGACAAAGTGGCAGCCACCTTTCTAACGACATTTTGACCTCAAGAAAAACCTTCGTATAAGAGCTACCCAGTGGAACATCAAATGCTGTGTTTTATTGAGAATGAGCGAAATGTGTTTTTGTTTGGTATATACTAGTCATTCAGCTTTGTTTACATTTTAAAATTTAGAATTAAAAATTGTTCGCCCTGTATTGAAATTCATAACTTTTAAACCGTTTATTTTCTTCTTTTTTAGTTGTCTATATGAATGTTTTCAGGTGGAATGGAACTTATGTAAGTCGAATGATTCTGATGGAAATTGAAATGCCAACTGGATTTGTTGCTGACCATGATTTCTTTATAAAACAATCTAAAGTTATGAAACACGAAAGCATCGGAAGGACACTTGTTGTGTATCTCTTTGGGGTAAAAATGGTTTGATTCAAAACTAATTTCGCATTTGCATTTTGCTGTGTTGAAATCATCGCTGCGATCTGTTTGTAAATATAATTGATATTTAAGAAATAATAATATAGAACTAGAAGCTTCTAAATAGAAGGTGGTATGTTCTTTTTTTATAGATTGCACAGAATAGCGAGACGGTAGTGAAAGTGAAATTGGACAGGTCCGAACCCGTTGTCAAAAACCAGGGAGGCACCATTACTGTATACGACTATTATGAACCTAGTAAGACAATAACCCTTTTTTCTTTCTATTCTTTTGAGAATTTGCCGAATTATCCAGGGGCAAATATATTACAGAATATTTTTCATTAAAATTAGATAAAGGTATCAATATCTTCACTATTCAACAAGAAAGCCAACGGTTTATTTTGCCGGAAAACATAATAGAAAATTTCAATTTGGATTAATTATATCATCTAAATTCTGGTGTTCACCTGTCGTTTAGGCCAAATTTAGTTGGTTTTAAGTTATTTACAGTTATCCTTCAATTAAACAGCCATAACAAGTTATGTTGATTAATTTTGTAGGAAATTTCTTCAGTGACATTGGTATATCAGTTCTCATTTTGTTTATCTATTGTTTGAATTATAATCATTTTTTTTTTATTCTTATTTTCAAATAAAAAAAATCTGAGTAAATATGTGCAAATGATTACATCATTTTGAACTTTAAAATATCAATTTCTTTACTTTCAACATCATATGAAAGAAAACAACATTATTTTTTTCATACTGTAAATTATCGAATTTCTATCAAATTTCCTCATATCTTTTTATGTAAAGGCCAAACAAAATCAATAAAAATTGAACTAAAGAAAGGGTTAGTTTCCATTAGTTATCATCTCACTAAAGTTCACATTTTGAAATAATTTTTACTTCTGTTTTTGAATCAAGGGAATGGCATATTTTCTCAGAAAAAATCTACACGTTTTACTCCTGTTATTTGCAAATCATCAAATAAAGGAAAACTTGTTCTGTAATAATTTGCAGCAGGGTCGTCATGGGTTTAGAAATTGTCGTATGAAAATACCTTTGAATAGTTTAAAATTACTTCTGGCATTTAAACATAAAACATTTTGAATTTATTAAAGCTTCTTAGAACGAACAGTAATGAATCCTTTACTACTTTAGACTTCTAGACTTTTTCCCATTTGCACAACTTAACTCGTATTATCTGAAAAGCATGTGTGCAAAGGCATACAGTAATATATGTTTGTTGATAATATTTTAGGTCAGAGAGCCATTGCACGTTATGAATCAGGCGTGTTAAAGAGAGCCAAAATATGCGATGTTTGTCCACTGTGCTTATTCTGTACAGGATTTTCGGCGTTCTCTCAAGTAAGTTTTTTCTTACGAGAATACCAAATTTCGGATTAATTAACATAAGTTTAAACAACGATAATTTTATTTGATACATTCTATTATAACGGCCGCAAAAAATCTAATTTTATGATTTAATTTATATGAACAAAACTTCTTAGTATGCGGTTACCCGTATACCATATCATCATATTTATAGGTAAAATATTTCTAAAAAAGGTTAATCTCTCGAAGAAAATGAAAACCAAATAATAAAAATAAAAAGTTGACAGTTTCAGACTCGATATTATTTAGTATTTTGTAATACTGTAATTCTCTCTTGTATATGATGATAATGTGTGTTTTGAAAAGAAACTTATTGCTGAATCATTTAACAAATTTTATACAACAGTTGCATGTAAACTTGTTGAAAAGTTGCCAGAAAGTATGCATAAATTTGGTACGAATTTTGTTAATACTTTTTATGCAAACAAGGGTGTTTTTGCAAACAGTTTTTCTTTTTCCATTGTTTCTGAAAGTAAAGTTCTTAAATACTTAACTTCATTAGGTGTCAAAAAAGCTACTGGCTTAGATGGTATACCCTCACGTTTTATCAGAGATGGATCCCCAGCTATTGCTAGTCCATTAGCTCATATCATAAACTTATCCCTTATCCAAGGTCAAGTCCCTGATGATCTTAAATCTGCAAGAGTTGTTCCCCTCTATTTTAAAAGAACGACAAAATTGTCTGTGGTAATTACCGGCCTGTGTCCATTTTAAATGTTGTATCTAAAATCCTTGAAAAGGTGGTTTATGACCAGGTTGAAGCTTATTTTAAGGATAAAGATCTGCTGTATAAAATTTCAATCAGGTTTCAGGAGTGGCTTCTCTACTGATACTTGTCTGATTCACCTTACAGACTTTATCAGGTATGAAAATGATAAAGGTAATGTTGTTGGTATGGTGCTGCTGGATTTGCAGAAAGCGTTTTGACACAGTCGACCATTCCATTCTTTTAATGAAACTGCAAGCATCAGGTCTTAGTATTGACGTCCTAAATTGGTTCAAATCATATTTATCAGATAGACAGCAGCTTGTAGATGTCTCTGGTACTTATTCTTCCAATTCCAAAATAACATGTGGTGTTCCTCAGGGCTCAATCCTTGGACCCCTTCTCTTTTTAATTTATGTAAATGATATGTCAGCTGTGGTCAAAAATAAATTGCTATTGTATGCTGATGATTCTGGTATCCTTGTATCTGGTAAAAGTTTATCTGTTGTTGAAAAGGCATTGACAGATGATATGGAATTGGTCAGCCAATGGTTAGTGGACAATAAGTTGTCATTGCATTTGGGTAAAACCGAGTCAATTTTATTTGGGTCCAGGCAAAAATTTAGGTCACAATCTAACCTGCATATAACCTGTTCTGGTACATCCATTGAATCAACTTCATCTATCAAGTATCTTGGGATTACTATAGACCAAAATCTGTCATTTTGCGCCACGGCCGAGTCTGTTCTTAAGAAGGCCAACTCTCGGTTAAAATTTCTTTACCGCAAGAAAGAGTTTCTTACTCAGCATACCAAGAAACTTCTGGTTATGTCTCTTATTCAGTGTCATTATGATTACGCATGCTCTGTTTGGTATAATAGCTTGACACAGTCTTTAAAAAATAAGTTACAAACTTGTCAAAACAAAATAATGAGATTTGTACTTGACTTGGACTCTAGAGCCCACATTGACCCATCCCACTTTAAGTCCCTTAACTGGTTACCGGTCCACAAAAGAGTTGAACAGATAATGTTGTGTCATGTTTTTAAGATAAAAAATGGCCTATCTACGGATTACATGTCTGAACACTTTATTTCACAAGATTCCATTCATAATTATAGTACAAGACTTAGTCAAAAGGGTGGATATTGTCTACCTAAGGTCAAAGGCCAGGGTTCTAAATCATTTGTTTTCTCTGGTATTAAATTATGGAATGATTTACCTGTAAAGTTAACGGAGATCAACAGGTTACAAAGTTTTAAGGTTGCCATCAAAAGTCATCTTATGAACAGTATTTAAAAAAAAAAAATTAAACATGTTTTTACATATTTCGGCTCAGGATTTTAAATTGTCTGCCATTTATCTTATTACAATTTTAGTAATGTGTTTTAAATCCTAGCTGTAAACAGGAGTATCATTAACTCAAGATTTGACTGTGATATACATTTTTATGATTTATTAGTATTTTTAAACATGATTATATTAAGGTTTGCCTCTCTATGTCATGCCGCCAATACAAAGGACCACAATGGAAATAAGAGCTTTTTTGCCCTTTTTTGTGTTATCCTTGGTTTTGGTGAGCATGTCATAGTTTTACTCGTATGATATATAGTATTTAATAATGCTCATTATTTTATCCTATGTTATATTGTCAACTATGTATATGCTTCCTTTGCCGAAATAAATCTATATCAAACTACATTCTACGCGATTTTTTCATATTAAAAAAAAATACTCGAAATTTGCATTGCAATCAAAGTATACATTTCAAGAATATAACCTTTAAAATTAGGATGGCTACGGTTTAAAATTTCGAATGAAATACTAAAACATTTTGTGGATAGGATAGTGTAAATATTTGAGCAGCAATCCCATAATAAAGTCAACTAATGAAATCAATTTATTGGCTTTCCCTAGAGAATATTAGGCCTAGGACCTATTTCTATATATTTGGAGCAATTTGCATTTCCTTGCAATTTGATTGATAACGGGTGTTCATTCAGCAGAGAATGCCGGAAAAGCTGTTTAATTTTATTTTTTAAATGATTTTTATTTTTAAACATGAACTATTGAAATTTATTTCTATTACAGATTGGGATTGGAAAATAATCGAAATCGGCATGCATTTATTTGAGATATACTTTAATGGACAAATCTTAATAAACATGCAGTCTAGTCGTTTTTGTATATTTTTTTCACTTTGATCTGATGATTATCATAACACAGAAATAGGCACTTATCATGTTAAAAATGGACCAAATTCGATATATTCCAGGAACAAGAGTAAATCATAGAAAATGAGAATTCACTCAGATGAAAAGTAATGATTTCTCTGAAGGAGATAACGCGCCGATGAATTATTATTATTATAGCTCCTTATGTGTGATCAACCTGGCTAGTGCAGTAATCAGATTTTGACTTACATATTAGATATACTATACTGTAAAATGCATAGTAATTAAGTTTTTGGCTTTTAAAGCATGTTTAAAAAATGACCAGTTACACCCATTGCATACGAACAATACTAATGCTAATCTGCATTAGTAATCTGCATGTATCGTGTTACAAATGGACCGTGTGTAATTGATGGACTCAATGAAAACAATATCATTTAAGCAACCAAAAAGTGTTTAAATTGTGATTTTATCGATTTAAATGTAGTCCATATTTTCCTTATCTCAATCCAAGGTTGAGCCGGATTTACCATTGATAAGAGAATAACATTTCAAAATTGTTATAATCGTTGTTTGTAGTGGAGTTTATGTTTTGATTCAAATAGAACTGTCGTCGCTTCTAGCGGATGTTAAGTAATACACGTGAAATGCTCCTAGAACTTTTTATACTGAGCGTGGCAGTATCATTTTCAGATGGAGGGTATGTAATATACGAAAGAAATTATATTATTGAATAAAGAATATGAACTAATTAAACCCGTATTTTAAATAGTAGCAGGTTCTAAAATATCATGTCACATTTTCAACTTCTAAAATGTCACGTCACATTTTCAAGTTTAACTTGACACAGATTCAGTCAAATTGATGTTTTGCGTTTTCTCATGTAAAGTCTAGTGGCCACAATTGCTGAATCCAAATCACTTGCCCGTCATCGTCAATTCTAATGTGTGCGAATCCGAAAAGTTACTATGACTTGTTTCATGAAAGGAATATATTTAGTTAGCTTGTACTCAGTTGCCCAATTAACACTTAATCATGAATGGTTGTGCACCTAAAATTTAGTTAAAAAACCCTTGTAATCCGCAACATTGCTTTCACTAAAAAATGAATTAGCATCTTTTTCTACGAGAGCCAATATAAAATTGAACAAGGTGCAATATTGCTGTATTGTTTTAGTTTAATTATTATACATTATATATCATTAACATGAAATACAGTAGGAAGCAATTCAAGTTACATTAATTTTGTTGATGAATATCAGAATGTCTTCACTTAATTCACAGAGTAAAAGAAATTGTTGATCCTGTAAAATTTAAGTGAGTCTAAAGAAGGAATTAACTATTTTCAAATCTGTGGGTACTTCAATTTTAGTATCAGTACTATCTCTAAACACAATTGTATTCCTTCAGAACTTATGGTTTTTACCCTAATCGCAGACACCGATCCTTCCTGTGATTGTTTTTGTAAAACTCATATAGAATCTGAATAAATTTTAACATTCTTTATGTAAAGAAACAAAACTGTTTAGAACTTAAGATGCACTGTGATTTTATTTTAATGAAAATTAAAATTATAATTAAAATTGGTATTTTTCATAAAATGTCAGGAAAATTTTAAGTGGCTTTGAGACACGATCAGACATTTCCTTTTTCAGGTCATACATAGCTACATTTCCGGACTCATTGATTCCGGGAGTTAATCTAGATGTTAGGATAACTGTCCTTGGAGCATCCGGAACAGTTAACACTGTAGCGTCCTTACACTATGCCCAAAACAATTCGGAAATATCGTCTACCGCAAAGCAAGTTGCAAACGGTATTGTGATCTTTTTAAAATTCGTTTATTTTCAAATTAAAAGTCAAACCGCACTGGAGTTGTAAAAGATGTGCGAGCGCGTGTGTGTGTTCATGCGTGCGTGCGAGTGCGTATGCGTGTGCGCGCACGTGTGTGTGTGTCTCTCATTGTTTCAAACTGATGGTCAAACAAGTATTAGTATTTTAACTGTCCAAAAGGGAAAGAAAAGAACTCGTATTCTTAAATTAGATTGCATCATTGAAATTGTATGTATATTTGTTTGTTTAATTCTTATTCCGATATCAACATTTTTATCATACCTTGACATTCGGTCCACCTAACTGGCTTGCATGTATAAATTACCAGAAATTACCAATTTAACAGCAAAAGACCGATTATTATTCCACATGATTTCTTGAACAATGGCGAGTAGACTCAAAATAACACTCACGGAGAAATTGCACCCTTCCCCCTTCCCCCGAGGATTAAACCATTGAGCAGTACTTTACTGGATGCACTGCCATTTGATTTAAGCGAGTGGACGTATATGTAAAATATAAATACTTGAAGTTAATTATAATGTTGATTTTTTGCTTTTGTTTTACAAGATTTTGTCATCTGCATTTTGCATTATAATTCTAGGTGTTCCGAGTACTTTGGCTATAAAGGTAAACAGTTCCTCATTCAGTTGTTGTCTATAAATCTTTACATCTTTACTTTTTCAGTAGGGATATAAACATAGAATTTAGTTTTTCTGATTATCGATAAGATCCTTGTAAATATGATTGTATCAAAATTCCTCAATTCTACGTAATGAATTGCCAAAATTGTTCAAAGTTTATACATATTTGAATTTTTTTTATTGATACAGCCTCCTTTGAAGTGATATCATCTCAGATTGTCGTAATCGTCATTAATGGCTTTTGACAAAACTGGTCATGCCATCCTTAAAGTGACAAACAAATTGCCACACATTTTTCAGGTACCTGCTGGTTTGTCATTGTCCCAATATATGGTATCTATAAGCGGATCTGGGGGATTGACTTTCAAGAACGAATCAAAAGTCAATTACGAAGCGAATAACCTGTTTTTGTTCCTACAAACTGATAAGACACGCTATTCAGCCGGACAAGAAGGTATGAAGGAGTACAAATAAGGTTACATACGGAAATCGTGATACTCTTATCATTTTTGCTCTTTACAAATGAAATGTCCCCTGGTTTTCCCATGGGGTCACCAATAATGTCTTATGTAGCATAAGTCCACTTCTTATTTCTAAAATATTCATTTTTTTTATCTCACTTTAAGCCATTCCTCGCTATTATAAAAGACATATTATTGCAAATTTATCAATACTTTCTTACTGTAAAAATAGATTTTCTAGATTTTCTAGGGAAAATAAATACAAATGTAATATGGAAAAGAAATTAGCTACATCATTAAATATTTATGTAGACAAACAACTAGCAAGGAAACGAACTAAATCAAAATACTCTCACTCCTCCGACAAGAACAACATCATAAACAAGCAAGAGCATTACTGTTTCCGTTTACAGGTATCAGCCAAACAGAAAACTTCTTCTATTCTTATATGTTAAAGAAAGCCAAAATTTACAGATGAATACTTGCGTGGTGTGTAATGAAAATATGTTTTAAGTCGCAAGGGTTTCTTATTTCTTAGTGACAATAAAGTAGTAAGTAATCATAATTATGAAAAGTAACATATTTTCACTACAACACACATTTCTTTCCTTGCAATTCATTTCAGTAAAGTATCGTGCTATACTACTTCACCCAAACTTGCTCGGTTATAAGGGACCTCTCACAATAACTGTCTTTGTAAGTATTCGTGAATTTTGACTGAATGTAACATGTTTTGACTAATTAAAAAATTTAAATATGCTAATTCCTTGACATATTTATCTTTAACTTTAATGACATGAATAGTTTAAAATTCATTTTTTAAGAAATAAGACTGACTAATTATAAGCTATACATAATTCTTTTATCCCCTGCTGATATCAATGCACAAGAAATAAAAAAAATCCAGTTACAGTTAATGGCAACCGATGGCATTGAATCATAATCCTTGTATTTATAAAACGTCTATCTGAACAACTTACACTGACACACTATACAGTATTAATGCTTATGTTTTGTTTTATACAGGATGGCAAAAGCAACAAGATTGATGTCATTGATCATCTAACAACAAAGGACGGAGTTGTGTCCGGTAAACTGACTTTGAGCCGTGAACCTGTTTTTGGTACATGGACAATTCAAGTTGATGCTGTGGTAACAGAGCTTTATCATCATACATTATGTTATGAATTATTGAAGTTGAACTTAAGTATTTAACCCATTATCCGATATACACGCCTTTTAACGCTCCTTTACCCCCCCCCCCCCCCCCCCATTAATTGTCTCAAATGGTGAAAAAATGTCTTATTTAGGCCCCTAACACTTGTTTTTGTTTGAGAAATGTTGCTTCAAAAAGTGAGCACTTTTTTGGCGCCGCCCCTATCCGAAAGAGACACCAGGGGTTGCCAGAATGGGGATGTGCCCCTTCTGTCTAGGGGGTTTGAAGGGGGTGGCAGTCCCGCTCATCGCCAAGAAAATTTTGGACTTGTGAGAGGCTAAAAATGACCCCAGGTCGATCATAAGGTAACGTGTAACCAACGCTGAAAAGCCTTTGACTGTATCTCAATCCATTGAGAAGTTACAGCACTTTGAAATCAATTTTGATGGAAAAAAGTGATTTTTGGCAATTTTGAGATGTCCCCTCGTTGCCATGGCAACAGGAAATTTAAGACTGAGCATGTCGTTACAAAGGAAATGGTCCAGTCAAATTTTTTGCCAAGTTTGAATAGTATAAAAGCAGTTTTTATAGTTTTGTAGCAATTTGAACTTGTAACTGGAGACTTTTCAATGAAAACAGCAATTATTCCCAAAATGCTCATGCAGAAATGGGTTTAATAATGCATTGAAAAGTACCGTAAGACCTTATCCATCATCAACCGCTAGGATTTCACAATATCTCTTCAAATGCATTAAAATGACTAAACTTTTTAAACCGAAACTTCGGTGTTAGCTTGTCAATGTGTCTGATGTGTAACAGATCAACCAATATGTCAACCTTGCAGTTAACTACAGGATACTGATTGTGTCGTAAATGCACGAAGATATAGTACTAGAATAGAGATTATTTAAATATCTTATATATGTAAATGCACAATATATTTTATTGTTTTTAAATATTACTTCAATTCAAGTTTTAATATTTTCAGAGGAAGGTATTGAGAAAGAATTTCGAAGTAAATGACTATGGTATGGTATTTTGCTACTTCGCTTCTTTAACGCAATAAGTTATGCAATATAACTTCTTTTATGTCTTGCGATCATTATACTTTCAGATTTTATCATTGGACACAAAGTAGTCTTTAAGGCAAATATATAGTTTTTAGACTTCAATTAGACTTTATCGCTTTTATTAGATCCTAAAAATCATACACCAAATTTTCTGACTGAGGAACATAAAATCCTTATCAACTATATCATTTTAACTATTAAGATTTTGAAAAACATTGCAATATTTGTATTATATGTGTTCAAGAAACTCACTATTATGTGTTTGTTTCGAAATCTTTCCTGTGTTGCATTTTTGCAACTTTTTATGTTGTCAAATTGGTCTTTTAAACTTTTAAAAAAGTCTTCTTAGCAATCAAGTTTTTCATAATTGGTAAGATAACATCATATGAATTGTTTTTATTAACCTGTGGTGGCTGATTTCTGTCATGTCTGTTTTCGTGTCTTCGCTTCTCAAAAGTCGATGACGAAGACACGATGAAATGCTCACTTATCTTGTCTTCGCCTTCGACTTTTACAAAGACACGACTTGGCATATTAAACAGAAAAAATAGATCGCAAATGATGAGCAATCTAAATTTATCTAGATTCAACAACTCTTGTTTGAGTTTTAACTACAAAATTTAAATACAGGCACGAATTAAATAAAATACTAACATGTACATTAACGAAAAAAGAAAGCAACCAAAAAATCTTGTGCTCCGATGTTTTATCTCTGAGACTTAGTTTGCTAGATAATACAACATGACCTATGACCTTCATGAAATGCATCATGAATTTTGTGAGAGTGAATCGAACATATAAGGTATGGTTCGAAGCAGGTGGTCTACAACAGCATTCGTTTCATGTTGCATGTTGATGTCTGAAGAAAACATTCATTGCTTTCATAATTTACAAAATGAGTTATTGTGATAGGTATTGCGAGAGTGGCAATATTCAGTATGTTTTTTTATCTAATGAAGTTGGAAATCATTCCTACAGATCTTTAAACAAAGAAAGATTTTTGTTAACAAAATACATATGTATGATACTATAAGTATACCTGAACACTGAAACATTGTCTGAAACGAAATGTTTGAAATGTGAAAGATGAAATCGTTTTTTCTTGTTATATGTCAACTTTATTTAAACTTCAAAATGTGTTTTGTCTTTTTATAAACACAATAAAGAAAATTTTAAACCCATAGAGACAGTTTGTGCGAATAATGAGTGATAATTCAATAGGCAGATTATATTTGATAGCAATTTGTAAAGCTAGCTTTTCAATCAATAGAAATCTTTTTCGAAATCACTTTTAGATTGCAATGTATCACTCAGTCAACTATATTTGTATGTACATTTGCAACTCAATTTCTAAAAGTTTATGTATACAAATCACGTAAAGTAATATTATTTTATTTTGAATAGCTCGTTAAAACAACATAAGTAAACGAAATCATTTCATTTATTTTGGCAGTTGTTCCCAGATTTAGCGTACAGATCACTTTACAAAAAGAAATTCAGCAGACCATGTCTTTTATCGAATTATCTGTAAAGGCAAGGTACGTATTTTTCAGACAAAGACAATCAATATTTGATCGTTTGTGTCGAGCTTATCATTTATTTATTTTGTTTGTTATTGTTTATCCGCCATGTCAAGGAGATTAAAAAAAACCTCTTATTTTATGCCAACTGATTGAAATTAATTTTTATACCGTCGTGCTATCGTTGTGAAAATAACTGCTAACACTGTATTCGCCATGTGACATTTCTATTTCAGATTCACGTTCAATAACGACGTGCTTGGTAATTGTACAATTCAAATCTACAACAAAAACAAGCTCACCAAATTCGTTGAATATTGGAAACAGGCAAGCAAGAAGTGTAAAAACAATCTGATTTATTTGTTTGTTGATAGTTTAAAGGGTATTTAACGTAAGCACAAAAGTATTTAAAATCGATTAGTAATTGATTAAATGCATAATTTGATCTATATATCGATCCTTGATTTATGCTAATAAACTCTGTTTGCCAAAAGCACATTTTTGTTTTACCCTTAATCGTAGGGTATCAAATACTTGTGTTAAAATATGGTAGGTATGAATTTCGTTTGCATAAGGCATATAGTTGATAATATTCAATTATGATTTTGTATCTTTATAATTCTGTTAGTGTTGCTATTATTTCCAGATAAGGGGAGAAGTCAATTTTACAATACCAATGGCGGACTTGAGAAGAAATCTATCAGTTTACGACCCAATAATAGTTCGTGCCATGGTGACGGATAATGCAACTGCTCTCACTATCGCTGCAGAGGAAGATCTGAAATTTAGTTCAGATTCTCACTCGTCTTCTTCTTTCACACAACAACAGACTATTACTATTACAAAGACAGACAAACGAGACACGTTCGTGCCTGGGTTAACATATCATACATCGGTAAGTTGTTTTCGTCATTTTCTTAAGCGGTATGATTTTGTTATGACGAAATACAACATAGTTCACAGCTAATCGTTTGTTTCTGCCTTACTTAACTTATGAAGTGATAAGTATACTAAGAGTGTAAGATACTCATACATTAAAAGGAAAATGATAAACATAAATCATCATTATCTGTTGCCAATTAATTTGAACGATAACAAAAGGTACACTAAGAACACTGATACTGACATTCTTTGAATACATTTTAGTCTGACATGTTTTACATAAAGGGCAACTTATATTTGGTAGATATTTATTGGGCATGATGATGAACCAGTCGGTACGTCGGGAATTATAAACGTTATACCAACAGTGACAACCGCTGAAGTAAAACAATGTAATCTCAATAACCCACCAACAAAGTGGCTTGATATACAGACTACTGTCATGCAAAACTTCACTGTCACGTTTGACGAGTCCGGATATGGCGCTTTAAATGTTCCAATTAGCGTTCATACTGATAAAGTACAATTCGAGGTAAAACACATTTTTTTTAACTTTTGAGCGACATGCTCTTTGAAACCTGTGGCTTACTCCTTATTCCTGTCGCTTCTACTGACAAAAACTGTAAAAATCTGAATCTTTAATTGATCGTGTTAGTATAAAGCCATATCTAATAAAGTTAAATTAATCAAAGCTTTTACATAATTTATACAAGACAAGAAGGCAACGACATTAAAGTTATATTTCTAAAAACCTTATAGTTAATCTATGGGTCGACACAGACGTACATAGAGCTTTATTCCGTCTCAAGCCAGCCAGTGCCAATGCTGCGTATGAATGTCAAACAGATTCATGCACGTGTAAGTATGGTTTCTCAAACACTGCATACCTTTTATAGGTTTGTCTTCATTTTACTCTTTTTATGAATTTTTATGGGCTACCAGTTTTGTGTCAAAATAATTACTGATGACTGACTTAATGACGGATTTTGCTATGTCTATCACCATATTTCTATTTCGAGACTTACGCAGTCAGACCTATTTTGTCATATTCTGAGCTATATTTTGGTAAATTTCATAGATCTTAAGTGCCATTTGCAATGTGTAAATTTACTTTCTTTGTTCACTTGAGAATACTTTAGTTTATATACATTTTTAAAAAGTTTTATGAAAAGAAGCATGAATCTTGGGGCAACATGCTTTAATTAAGAAAGTTTTATGTGTCAAACAAACGCGCTTTATTCATAAATATTATTACAGTTTATCAAGTAAATTTTGTCAATTATCTCCGATATTCTTATATATATTATCTTCAACTATGAACAAAAGGTTGGTGATAATGTTACCATAGTGACAGAAGCAACAGAACAGCTCAATGGTTTGATATCATACGAGGTAATTATTTTGCTGCATTCAGATAAAACATTTGCATTTTTAAACCATTTTGCCTCTCACTAAATATTGTAGGGATACTCAATTCCAATATGTATAAATACATCAATGACATATACTTTTTCCATTGATGTGCTTAGTCTGAAGTATGTCATTTATAGATTATTTGTAGAATTGAACTTAAAAGTCTTATCTTATCTGCAGCTACTTATGTCTACCATAAATATTTTTTGACGTTGTATGCTCAAAGTATTTAAAAAGAAACCGACACGACAAAATTGAAATTGTTGCAAGTTTTAATGAGCCTGCCCAAGGGCAGTGGGTGTTTATATATTAGTAATTTCTTGTTATGATCTTTATTGTCTTCAAAATGTAAATGAATACTCAATTCATTAATATTTTACACATAGATATATGCTCGAGGAATTTTGCGACATACTTTCCTGAATCGCCTAGTGAACACAAAGCGGACTTACATAGATTTGAAGATAACTGGAGATTTGGTACCACAAGCATATGTCGTTGCTACACATCTTACAAGAGCTGGGCACCTGCTCTCAGATTATATAATGCTTAAAGTGGACGGATCACCTTGTAAAAACAAAGTAAGATTAATTATTCATCATAGCCTGTATTCGGGAAAAGTTAAAGCTATTTTCACATTATGGTAATGTAAGTCAAAGAAAGATGTAGAGTATGTTTAGTCTTATTAATCGTTTAATTTGTTTTGTTTATTCTGGTTTTTGTTTTTGTTGAATTTTCGTTGTTGTTTTTTGTTTTGTTTGTTTTGTTTTCTTTTTAGAAAATGCTTTAATTAGAGATGTTTATATAATTAATTGACTTTCGTTGTAATATCAAAATAAAACAAATGTTTAAAGTCATTATTTTTATTATTTTTATCGGTAAGACTAACCTCAAACAATTTATTTAGGTATCTGTCACATACAATGCAACTTCACTAGAACCTAGACAAAAATTGAAAATTGACCTTCGTGCTGACCCAAACTCAACAATTTACCTGATGTTTGAAGATGAAAAGAATAGACTGATAGGAACAGAGAACGATATTTTCTCGGATGAGGTATTGGCATTATTATTGCTGTTGAATATTTATGATATTGCAATACTTTTATATAAATAACACATGACGGTAGAGGTGATTATTGATATTGTCAACTCAAATACTTTTATATCACCACGAGGTGCAGCCTTTAATTATACAGAAAAAAAATCATACAAGAGGATATAAGAAATATCACCGGGGAAAAATATTCTCTATGAAAAAAATGGACCAGAACACATTAAAGGTCTTAGTGACTTTCACATTGTAGGGTATAAATAGGTTGATAAATATATTGTCAACCTTTACAAAAATCTTAATTCTATCAAATATTTGGGTTATTTCGAAAACGAAAGTTATTTAATTTTGATAATAATTTCACATTAATTTTGAGATGTTAAAACAATTGTTTTGAAATTTGGTACAATTTTTCTTTTAAGTCATGATGTTAACAGTTTAGAAATGTTTGTTCATGCTTTCTGATTATACATTCCAAATAAAAACAAAACAACATAAATACACCGTCGAACTTGAGAAAATTCAAACAATAGTCTTTAATTATATTCACATAAGGCATTTACCATATTCTAAGATGAACATTCAAACATTAGTCTTTCACCATATTCACATATGAAACATCATTTTCACTTGTGAAAATTCAAACATAAGTTTTTTTTTGCTATATTTATGTGTGAAAATGTTAAAGTTCAAACATCAGCCTTTTATTATATTTACGAGGTCACACTTTTTTCAGATAACAGGGAAGGTACTTGCATGGAATCAAAATAAAAAGAGTCAAATAGGAAGAAAGGTAAAAGCATAATTATACTCGTATTTTAGTTTTTAACTCGTGTTGTCAAACAAATAATTGCTGCCACATATATTTTCATTTTTCAATATAATAAAATATAATTTGAATATTTTTAAATACATTATATACATAGCTTATATTTCAAAAATATGCATCTAATGAATCTAGGAATTCGGCCTGCAAATATTATAAGTTATCTATATTTTAAAATTCTGCTGCTATTAATGTATATGGATGTTTGATCTGTTTGCCAATCAGTTAATCAGCTAAATTATGGTAGCAGGTGCTTGTGATGTCATTAGTCAGTTTGTCTATACAATGATAAATAACTTTCGATGTCTATAAACAATTATCTCTTATCAGTGGACTATTCTGTCTGGTACTGTCATTTTACTTCTGCTGCTTTATTACGTTATGCATTTTTTTCTGTCACTACATTGGTTTTGTGCTGGCTTTTATAAATATGATGCAAAAGAAAACCCTGCATCATACTCTCATATGAATATACATATATCTCTAAATAAATCTGTAATTAATAAAGAATCTCTATATTTCTAAATAAATTTCTATGGCGGCATATTTCTCCCATTATCTTTTAACTGAAAATTTATCTAGTTATCTGATACTTAAGTTAACAAACACAAAAGGTTGAATAGATTAAAATATAATCATCTATTTTTTAACTGGTAAGTGTTGGCAATTTCGGGCACTTTTTAGTGTTTTTGGAAGCTATATAATGATTCGTAATCTAACAGAGAAAAACATCTAGTTAGTCTGATAAATAACTGTTATTTATCGTGTTAACACGAAAACTGACTACTTAGTCAGATAGTTAACGCGATAATTATATTATTATCTGTTGGCAGAAATATGCCATGATAAATTTCATATTTCATACATGCTCTTAAAACGGAAATAAATTCTGATTATTTAAAGCTGCAAATAAAATGGCTTTATTTCAGAGGACGATCAAAAATGTTTCTTTGAAAGGAAAGCTGTTAAATAGATTTGGAAGGAAACTTTCTTATATCAATTACAAACATGGACAGGTAGACTAGATATTTTTAAAAGCATATTTTATATTTCCATATATAAACTTATTTTTATGCATCTTTATAATATATAAATATAAAATATAATTCAAAATAAGAAATCGACCTAGATTTATTTATATCCACATTCACACACGGCAATATCAATATGCGGAATATAAACATGGACGAGTAGATAATATGAATTCTAACAAGCTTCACTCTATTGTCATGTCAGCCCTAACAAACAGAGCAATCAAGTACATTATTTAACGATATAGACAAAGCATAAAAACAGTTTCGTATCCGCCATTTAACGTCATATATGACATCAGTAAACCAAATGATTTCAGAAAAATAACTTCTACGCTCAAAGTAGTTCAACATATTTTTTTTAATTTTCTTTTTATTAGCATGCTAGAATGGAATTAGATATAATTGTTCTTGCATAGGTATAAGTACCTATGTTACTATATATAGTAGCACAATATAGGTACTTCAAGGCCATTATGGCACAATCTAGGTCATTATGCGATTTCAGCCGCCTTGCTACTCTGCATTATTTTTCAATAATGGGCGAGTGAATGAGCGCACGTGCAAAAAGAGATAATCAACTCTCAGTGACTTTCAATGTCGTTGAATAAACTGTAGTCATCTGTGCCCACAAAAATTTAAGTTCTGATGGCATAATCAATCGAAATCAACAAAGCTAATACTGAAGATCTATTAACTTAGTAACTGTGCAAAAGTCAAATCGTGACTCTCTTACATGACTTCAGATTGAAGACTGTATAGACTTGAAGACAGAAGATATTTTAATAACTTAATAATATGTCGTGTTTAAATATAGATATAAGCATATAATACTAACTGGCCAGCCATTGGCTGCAAAAGTGCAGGGAAAACCGATGGGACATCAGGTGATTGGATGAAAATGTAATGTTTACAAGTACGGAAATTATTTAAGAAACTATAACACTGAATTGTTTTTTTTTAAAACGAACTCTTTCATAAGTGTTTAGGATAATTTCTCATTTGGATCTTTGCATTTCAAAAAATATATGTCAGTTCTGTGATCAGCAGAAAATTTTAGTTAAATGGGGTAACCATCTTTGGGGACATTTTTCGAAAAAATTGGTCGGTCAACCTTATATATCAAGATCATTTTGATGTGTCAGGCATGTCATTCTTCTAGAAAAATCACATCTTTTAGCATACTCAATTTTAAGGTTGGTAAAGCGGTAATTTGTAATAATGTAAGTCTATTGGAAAATTGATACAGAAGTCTCACCTAGAATTACCAGCAGTACAGGGGATATATCTAAGATCGGAGTATCCATAGCTATGTTTGCGACCTGGCAATATCAGATCCGTTCTTGAAAGCTAACAAGTTCATAAAAAATAACACCAGTTCCTAAAAAAAACTAGCACCAAAACTTATTCTCACAGATAAGGGAAATTTATAAAAGTAAACAACAATAAAAAATAGTTTCTCATTTTTTATTTTGTGTTATCAAGTTAATTGGAGGTTGATACTTTTGGAAGTTTTTGGGTCATTGTCGCATAATTGCAAGCAGCAACCAAATAAAGCAATTTTTTTCGTTAAAATGCTTCGACCTTATCGGCATCCGTGATTATATTCATCAAATCTTGCATACTTATTCAACAAGAATGCACTCAAAATTGATAACTATTTCTTAAGTCATACATGTGGAAATCCACCATTACTGATAATTTATAACCGACAAGACATTCATTTACGTCAACCAAAATGCAACGGAAATTTATTGTCGTTTGTGTAATAATTTGTTTCTTCACAGAAAAGGAAAATTAATAAATCAAAATGAATATTTTTTTCTTTCGCAAAGAACATATTTAAGGCGTGTTTTGTTGTTTTCGAAAGAAATAGTCACTCAAATTTCTGAGTTTCCAATGCTTTTTGAATTATGACGCTGTATCTAATTTGTAATTCAAAGCTGGAAACATAGCAAAATAGAATATCTTTTTACTTTTATTCTTTTTCAGAAAAAACTTTTCAAAAGAAATAGCAAAACCTCCGCAGAAGATATCTATCACGTAAATATATGCATAACAGAAAATTATCATCGTTGGAGAAGTTTAATGCCATTACAGGAACATTTAGTCTTATAAATGAAAACGTTTTGTTTTTCTTCTGAAGAAAGGGCAAAATGTGTTTTATAATGTTTTTATAATAGATTTAGAGTTAAATGCTTATCACGTACATATATAAGCGTTGAATTTTAAAATTAAGTTATCATGAAAGAAGCAAAATACAAATTGGTATATTATCTTTCATACAAAGATACTAAATCAATATTGATGTACTAACTGCCAAACCCACAAGATGGTTCATCTATATTGCCAAGAAATATCTTTTCGGAAACTTTAACAGGACACACTTTAAGGATTTGTGAAATATAGACTATAGTATTTTGGGTCTTAATTGGTCATGAAATTATATGTAAGAAAAAGTGAAATAATAGCATTAGAAGAGCTAACTAGTTTGATTTATATACTCATTGGCGTAAACAAAGAAGTGAGTCGCTTCCATTCCAATGCCAAAGCTAAAATATCGAAATATACTTATATTTGATTAATCGATAGATTATGTATGCCATTTACAATTGAATTTTGTACTTACTTACATAATATGTTCTATTATTCAAACTTTATTGCGAATTTATGATTGATAGAAATTCATTTTTATATTGCATACCATTAACAGGAAAGCGGTGTGGTGATCCTCTCAAATATAGACATGTATCAGGAAAAAGACAGTACACAATTACTAATGTTCAACTATGTTTTACCCCAAAAATGTAAGCACTATACCAAAATATTTTTATCTGAAAAAGGATTTGAATAATATTTAATTATTATTATACTTACAAGGTACAAAGCTATATTGGAATGAAAGAACTAAGTGTCTAAACTTAAAAGAGTAGTGTTTGTAAATTTTTTGATTAAGCAGGAAATGTTTTGAAATTACTTTGTTATGTATAGTATAATTATCAAATTGTCATTTATAGCTTTATACTCTTAGTGGCTACACCTTAATATGCATGGCTAAAACAAGACAATACTTATTTTGCTATGTAACAATTTAAGCATTGAAACGACACGATAACTAAGAGCATACTGCTGTTTTGGAACATTTAAGATAAAATAGTTGCCATAGTTGAGAAAAAAAGTTTAAATAAGACCATACGAATATGATCGGGCTCGTCTATCAAAGCTATTCTTGCGATGACAAATATATTGTATGCCTTAAATAATACATTTTTCTTGTTAAAATATAGCTCCAACTTACTCCTGAATTACCAGAATTTGTTTGCAATTTTGATTTTTCTTCTAAATCGGGACGTACTTGTTCATGTGACAAAAATTATATGTTGTACAATATATATTTATCTTTAGTTATTTTTGTTCAATAATAGGTATACATATTACAACATTGCCACCCGTTACCTATCCATATGGTAAGTCTTGTCACTCCATATATAATCCTCTTAATATTTTTTAATATTTCTTGATTGTGTAAAATCAATTTTCTTGAATGTACACCTTATTAATTTAGTTTTTAGTTATGTTAAATCCATGTTATAAATCTCACAATAAACTTTTTTATTAATATAGTAAAAAACTTAACAATTATAATCATCAGTACAGCTTGACAATTATCATCATCATTGAAAATGGATATGATAAGTCTTATCTTGATGATGATAAAGGTGATTATAATTTGGTGAGGATGATGATACAGGTGATGATATAGTTACTTTTATCATAATAATGCATATAAAGATTATTTTATGATGATGCTGATGAAAGTGAGAATAATTAGAGTTTGATGATAATGATGGAGGTAAGGACCATTTTGACGACAGTATAATATAATCATTTTTACTTTATGCTTTTTAGTGGATTACTGATTTATCCGTGAAAATTATATTTGATTATTTCACAGTGAAAATTATCAAAATGTAATTTCACACTTTTCAATGACGAAACTACTTTCTTAAGATTTTCCCCATGTGGTACCTCAATTTTATTTTTGCTGACAATTCTGCAGGCTGTTCAGAGAAAAGCAAAGCTTAAATTAATAAATAACTTAAATGTTAAAAGTTAAAAGTAATAAAAAGAAGAAAACTTACTTCTATTCATTCAGATTACTTATCCCAAATATCGCCCTTATTTTTGTTTTGTTTAATTTTTACAGTCTGAAAAATTTAAGTATCATACGGGCAATAACTGCCGTATGCTTTATGAAAACTTGAAGAACAATGACAGCTATCAGCCCGAAGAATAAGTAAACAAGCCAGCGTTCGTTAGGCAGTCTTTCAACAATTCCAAGTTTTCCAATTTTGTAGCCATTTTTTGAATGTTTACACATCTGTCAACACTTATTTATTGTCTGTTACAATCCCCAAATAAGTTTTCTTTCTTTTAAAAAGGTGTATGACTAACAAATCCAAATGATATCCCTCTGAATCAAACACAATTATTTTCCTCATTTGAAATATACAACTTTTAAAAATGGCGACCGAATACATTTAACAGAGCCAGGTCTAATATAAATTCGCCGTAAGTAACAGAAATATGGATGGATTGTTGGACTTTTTCTCCTACTAGAATTGCTTGTTTTTATTATTCAAATAATAATAATATTTTAATAAAATGAATAATATCACCGCCATTTAACGTTGATTGTCGAACTTATTTTTCAGCCCAAGACTTATTGTATTTAATGAGAAACTTGACTAAATGAGGCTCTCAATGGGGAAAACAGATTTTAATTTTAACGTTAATATTAAGGAAATTTTGTTTTAACTTGTTTTTAAGCATAACATAAAAAGAAAATTTGTCTGTTTGTTGTATAAGATGTAATTTTATTTCATCTCGTAATTTTTAAAAACAGTATTCTCACTCGTGGCTAGTCCACTCGTGAGAATACTGTTTTTAGAGCTCACTCGATGAAATGAAATTTCATTTTAAACACAAACAAACAAATATCCTCTTTATAACAGTAGCTCAAGATTTCAATAATATAATCCGGTAAACATCATATTTTGACTTTTTTAAACATTATCCTAGGCAAAAACAAAACAACAACAACAACAACAACAAAAAACAAACACAACAACAACAAAAACACAACTTTATTTTCATATAAATCGTTTTGAAGGTAATTTCGGACGAATTTTGCGAGTGTGTACGCATTTTTAGGAACGCACATACGAAATATGTATATAAAATAATAATAAACAAGTGGCCATGAGTATTTAAATTAATTATATCAAGTATATTATATGAAAATTTTACAAAACTTGACATTATAATAGATAGTGACTCAAAATATGATTTTGCACATATATCAAATCCAATAAGGCCCAGTCGAGATAAAGTATTTTGTTTAGATTAGATATAAAAACTTTTAATAAGAAAGCATTTTCTTATGGACAGCTGATTTTGTCAAATTTGTTACAAATTCAATCTCATTAAAATCATAACTCTCTCTACCAAGCTTACGAGCGCGTACTGACGGAACATAACATTATTTATATATTCTATAAAACATAACACCTATAAAATATAATGATGATCACATTTCCATCCAATCAAGTTTTTATATCAATTTACGGTCAGTTGCTATATTACGTATTACATATGAATTTTTGCATCATAGCTTGGGGACATTTCTATTGAAAATTGTGCAAGAGTTAAATCATACTGGAGTGCAGGTATTAGTTACCAGTTCTCCAGTTAACGCACTGTCTGTCGGGGCTAAAAATAGAGCAAGCTCGTTGATTGGCTACATTTCTTCTAGCGTTTACTTATTATTATATGAAGGGAAAAGGAAATGGATAATGATAGAAAAATCAAATTTAGATGCTCGTGCATTGGTTCGTCTATTCTGTGGTTTAATATTTTGACGACAGGAACAGTGTTTTCATTTTTGACTTTGTTAAACACCCTCGTAAAAATAAGATAGCATTGTGTTTTGGTGTTTTTTTTCTGTTACATAATTTTGCATGGACAGTATAAAAAATTCATGTCTAAAGATTATTTGAATATATATTCGTAATTTGTATGTACTTTCCAACAATATTATTTCCTCATTTTGTTTTAATACTTTTTAGGTGTGACGTATGCTACAAGTAAGTAACTTTGCTTCCCAGCACCATTTTAACTAACAATTTATGAACATTTCTATCAGTGTGTTGAGTTTTTCTTTTTTGTTGCTTATCGTAAACTTAATGTAAGTCTCAAAGTATTAATTTGCCAAAATTGACGACTTGCAATATCAGAAAATTTAATATACATACAATACCGAAGCGTTTTTCAAATAAATGTTGTCACGGTTTACTTTGTTTTATCTCGATAGGCATTGACTCAGACATGGTTTTGTGTGATTTAAAGGTCTTACTCAGATGTTTTGAGGCTTTGTTTGCCACCTTTACACTTTTCACTGGTTCATTGAGGTTAAGACGAAATTACAACAACATTATGTCATTATAACGAGTTCTGCAATAACTTCATTGCAAAACTCGCTGAAACAAGCCCTGTTATCTGTTGACTATTGACATTCTCTTATTATCTCTGTATATTTCCACAAGATGTGCGGTTTAATTGAATCGACAGCGAGCAATTTATGATTGTGGAATTCCTTTTATAATATTCGTAAAATCACCCTTATATCAATATGATTTTTTTTAACAAATTGAATGCTATTTAACATTAAAGCTTTATAATTTCAGATTTTATTTTACCAGCTCCAGGTATGAGTGTTTTTCTCCTTTTTTCAGTTCACTTCTTTAAGGATTCTGTTTAAACAGTCATGTATAAACGTATTTAACCGACTCATTTCATTCTGTTACGGTAAGTTAATTGTGGAAGACATGGTATGAACGTATTTGGTATTTTGTTACACATAAAGATAACTCAGTTCATGGAATTTAATATTACAACGTCAGACGGACGATGCAAGCAAGAACTGGCAAATATGTTTAACAATGTTTACGGTTTTGTTTTGTATTACTCTTCATAAACATGAAATAAGTTCACCTCACAATGAACGAATTTGAGGAAAATGAATATGATCACAACCATCTCTTTTCCGTTAACACGTTAAACATCACCCAAGAAAAATAATGCACATTCATTTATTTACAGGAAGTACATACGCACCAGGTAAAACCCACGATTTCTTTTGTTACAGTTTTCTTATTTGGTTAAATGAAAAATGAAAATAATTATACTAAACAATCAATGATATGTGCAGAATTCTATATTTTATTTTTAGAATATCATAAAAAGAAGAACCCATTAAGACTTACTCATCACGAAATTTTTTTTGTTTTTTATAAGCAAACATGTATTCTATATTTATAGTGCTTAACTTTAACTGTCATTATCATTGAACCACTCTAGTGCTGTAGTTGGATTGCATCTGAATGAAACATTTTTCATGCTTAAAGTGGTGTCCAAAAAGGAGAGGTGTCCACTCCAGGTTGATTAAGAGGGATACGTTTGTATTAGTATATAAGAAAATGCAAATTTCTTCAGAATCAATATCATATTATTGTTCCACCAAATTGTAAATAAAAATCATGTGAATTTATAAGTTTTAATTTGATATTGTTATTTCTATATTTTAAAGGACGCTTCCCAACTTATGGTAAGTGCAGCTTTTATTTTGTGTTCGTAAAATATCAAGGAGATACTTAAAGAATAAGTAATTATTGATAAATTCTTAAGATGTGACATACGACCGACCATGAATTCAGGAAGTGTATAATGTGATTTTAATTGTCATACAAAATAAAAGCCAACAAAAATACTACAAAAACAAACAAGCAAAATAAAATCAGATACTCGTATATTTGAATGATTTTTTCCTTCAGTTCCGGGGATGGTACCTACGCCTGCTCCAGGTAACATTTTAAAAGTTTTATTATTTTCATATACATCGTTTAGAACGTAATTCCGATGAATTTTGCGAGTATGGACGCATTTATTATGAACGTACGTACAAAATAGGTATATGTGAAATAATAATAAAAAAGTGCCCTTAAGTATTCAAATCAAGTATATTATATAAAAGTTGTACAAAACTTGACATTATAATAGATATTGACTCAAATATGATTTTGTACATATATCGAATCCAATATGGCTCAGTCGTTCAAATAAAGAGATAAAGTATTTTGTTTAGATTAGATATAATAATTTTTGATAAGAAAGCATTTTGTTATGAATAGCTGATTATTTGGGACAACAACAAAACAATATCATACTTTAACTAATTTTATTTTATAGTCATACATAGTGGCATATGTAATTTATCTCACTGAGTAATGTCTTAGTTTATCTTTGGCATTTTATGGGCACGACTCCATTAATAAAAGCCAAAAGGTTTGGATACCGGGGCATACAAAACCCTGTTAGGGCATCCATAGCAAAGCAAACAAATGACACAAAATCAAAACAAGCAAATGGAACAAACTGTATAGCTTTTTGGAACAGTATGTTCTAGAAAATAATTGATCAAAGCAATACTAGTCTTTCAATTCTTCATTCACAAAATAGTCAATTTTCACAAATGTATATGAGCAACAACACAGCATTGACACTGTTGCGCGAAATTGGTTCTGGGAAGCAGAAACCAGTATCGCCAGTATCACAAAATGTCTATTCGCCGGCCGCAAAATGCAAATTTAGCAGACACAACATGTGAAATCTAGTATTTGAAAGTTCATAGAAGAATACATCTCTGGAGTCGCACCGTTGTCGAATTCTCTCTGCTGGTGGTTTTGGTCCAAGCAGCTTTCCTAAAAGATACCTCTTCCGTGGTATTTAGTAGGGCTAGCTGTCTTGAAACACGTCGCTAATGTTGGCTAATCTGAAAACATATCAAAAGAGGACAGAAACAACAAAACAAGCATGACACAAGTATTAAATTTAAGCTCAAATCTTTGACACTTCACACTCATAATTGACCGAGGAGGGCGGGTGGGTTTTTTCAACAATTCATTTCTTCCTTGTTACAATATTCGACGCCAGCGTTAAAAGGATATGACGTAGATACAGTACCTACGTCATAACCAGGGCAGGGTATAAGTTGTTCCCCAAATAACAGAGACTATTCTATAGAAATAGTCATCATTATTTGGGACAACAACAAAACAATATCATACTTTAACTAATTTTATTTTATAGTCATACATAGTGGCATATGTAATTTATCTCACTGAGTAATGTCTTAGTTTATCTTTGGCATTTTATGGGCACGACTCCATTAATAAAAGCCAAAAGGTTTGGATACCGGGGCATACAAAACCCTGTTAGGGCATCCATAGCAAAGCAAACAAATGACACAAAATCAAAACAAGCAAATGGAACAAACTGTATAGCTTTTTGGAACAGTATGCTCTAGAAAATAATTGATCAAAGCAATACTAGTCTTTCAAGTCTTCATTCACAAAATAGTCAATTTTCACAAATGTATATGAGCAACAACACAGCATTGACACTGTTGCGCGAAATTGGTTCTGGGAAGCAGAAACCAGTATCGCCAGTATCACAAAATGTCTATTCGCCGGCCGCCACTAGACTTCGGATGGTGAACGGGAGATTTCCCGTTTTCCAGTCGAAGGCTCCGCCAATAACATATAATATTGGCTTCGCCAATATCATACTATTATTGGCTCCGGCGAATTGAATACTTAAAAAAAAAATAGTCGTGCCAAGCCATTCTATGATTTATAATACAACACTGCCATAAAGGTAATTCAACTTAGCAAATAAAGCAGCATTCCAACAAATATGCATATACTAGCGGTCATAAATCAAATATGACACTATCTGAAACACAATAATTTTGGTAGTAACCATCAGGATCTCGAGTTCAGTGCCATTTCTCTTGACATGAATTTAGCAAAAGCATTCAAACTGCTCCAAATATGTGCTAGCTAAATGTATATACATTTGACAGTGCATTTTTTCGAGATATTAATTTAGCAATAACGTTCAAACTGCTGCAAATATGTGCTAGATACATGTATACAATAAGTGCATTCAGTCAACTGAACTATAAATTATGCATCAACACATCAACTTTTCAAATATACATTTCCTGAACCACTCTATGCCATAGGTGTTCGGCGCGCTGATCGGCCACCCACCCCACAACCCTCCCACCCCCAAAACCATGTAAACTGCAGTATTTTTCATTTGAAACATGTTTTAATATTTGGTATATGCTTTTAATTCAATTACCTTCATTTCCCACAAAAAATAAAAAATTGATTTATATATAAACATATTTAGTAAAGGTATGCAACTCGCTGCACATTTTTCAGCACTCATCTTAATAATAATTGAACTCTATAACCCCAACGTTTTTTCACCAATTTTCAATATTATGGTTCTGAAAGGTTGGAGGGCCGCAAAGTGGGCGATGGTCCCCCGGGGGCAGCCACAAACCAACGCGCCGAAAACATATGCCCAATACAATAGTGACCATCAAGATCGTGAGATCTGCAGGACTCAGAGCAGATATTTCCAATTGCACTCCATGGGTTCGAATCCTTTTAAATCAACCAACATGTTTAATAATGTTACATTAATCAGGTTTCCATTTGTTTTTAAATCGCATGATGTAATTACTTACACTCCATGCGGTAAAGAAAACTAGCAACAATTTAATGCATCATATCGTCGACAAGGCAGAACACTGGTATTACGTTTTAGTATGCTTAGCACCTATTGTCATTAGAATAGCATGCAATATTAACGTGTTAGAAATTGTCCTAATTTTTTACCCCACAATTGTACATAGGTTGCCACAAGTGCACATAGGTTCGAGCTATATTTTTCAATTTGCAGCATTTCACACCACCCATCCTGGTCAGACCTGGACTGTCTTTCTTACAACTGTGTGAAGCGCTTATTCAAAATAAGTACTTAATTATACTAATATACTTAACTGAGCTGTAAAAAGATTTGAAACAATTAATAGATTTCATGGAATATTTACTAATAAAATGTCTTTATTGGCCTAAAAAACATACTTAATTCCCAAACTCCAACAATAATGGTTTAAGCTTTTTGTTGGACATAAATTCAATTTCTACTGCCAGTGTTATAAGCAATTTAAATTACAGAAAATATTCTTTCACTGGTCAGTTTGCAGCATCCAGCTATACTGTCAGTTAAAAGTTGTTTGATTCTGTATTGGTTATTAGTCAATTCAACCAATTAATAGACTTAAATAAGCATTGATTATAATAATACACATGTATTTACATTTTATTTTAATTGAAAGCCGCATTCATTAATCTATCTGCAATACAGAAAGCATTTGCTGATTATCAGCCAAGATATTTTTGATTATCAAATTAAGTATCTGCTGAAAAAAAATAGCTTAATAATATGGTAATTTAAGATTTTGAACAAAGTGAAACCTTAGAAGTTAGAACATTGCCAAAGAATTTGCATCATTTTATTTAAACATTGTAAAGTTAGTGTTTTTATGTGCCTAATTATGTTTATTGTTAATAAAATAATCCAGACAGAAAACGTCAAAGTTTATTACCATGAAGATAAAAAGGCAATCATTTTAAGAACAAAAATTATATAAATATCAAGAGCTTAGATGGACTCTGAAGTGCATAATAATTTATTACAAAATTATGAAAATATTTGTACATTAAATGATTTAATTGACACTAATTAAATAGAATGTAAACAGTATAAAACAGTATGTAATAGATATTTTTGACATAATGCATAATGCCCATCCAAGGCTTTAATTATAATGAGTGAACAGGTGAAAGTCAAATAAGTTTACATCTTGCAATAATTCCTTTCAATTTTATAATGTACTTTCCATCTATGAAAGATAAATCAATGCAATTGGAAATTACCCAAAACGTTCAATTTATATAAGTTTGGGACAGTCTTTTTAAATTTTAGGCATACTTATATTTTATCCTAAACATTTTAAAATATCAGCTGTAGGTCAATAACATTTTTTCAGTCAATTATTTGAAACATAAAGTCAATTCAGCATAACTTGACCATGACAAAATAGGCACAATGTCATTTTAATATCATAACCATGTTATTTTGAAATTAAATAGGGTGTACTTTTTTCACAATAAAATATTGTTTCAACACCGAAATTAAAGTAAGACGATTTATATTTTAAATATCAAACGTCATACCCTCTCTGAGTTTACATAAAAATTGGTCTTGCAATTCAACCAAAGTTGGGTATTATACTAAAGCCAAGAGAAAACTGTCTTGAATGATTTTCCTTTGAACAACATTCAACAAATAAAAGTTAAACGTTGAATGCATGATTTTGTGTAAATATTATCAACAGTGTTTAACACTAAAATTTAAGAAGCGTGTTCACTTTTATTACTAGTTTAGGGGAATGATTACCTATCATATAGCATAAGATTATAAATGGAAAACTATTAACCTCCAACTTAAAGTTTTAAGTTTAATTATGTGTAGATCTATGGTCAAACTGTAAGAAAAAATAAAAAATAAATGATATACTTTCAAATTTAAAGTTTTATATTTGGATGGTGTTCACTATGTCTAAATCATTAAAAGAGGTTCATAATAATTTAATAAATAAGCTATTCATTTATTATATTAAAATATTTATCTTTTTAGGTTGTGTAAAGTAAATAAAAGGTACAATGGAAAATAAATTTTACAATGAAAATTGAACTACAACTTGTCAACTTAAAATTGCAATAAATTGTGTGACAAATATAATTTGTTATAAATCTGTACTATTATGTAGCCTACACCATGAATTATAAACAAAATAGTCAAACAAAGACAAATATTTAAAATTATTATTATTAATAACTTATTATTATTTTTATTATAATTATGAATTCATGACTGTCTTATTATTATCATTAGATCACATCATCATTATTACTATTATCAATTCATTATTATTTTTATTAATTTATTATTATTATTATCATCATCATAATTAATTTATTATTATTATTATCAATTCATTATTATTACTATTAATTTATTGTTATAATTTTATTTTTATATAATGTTTATTAATTTACTATAATTATTATTATCTAATATCTTAATCATGATGTGACTGATGTTGCATTGAAGTCTGTATCTTTTAATTATTGGTGCATTATTAATTTATCAATTTCTATTTAATGTGATTTTAACCCCTTCTTATCCAACATAATTTGCTAATTATGCATACTTAATTTTACCATAAAAACAAGTTAAACAACAGGCCCTAAAAGAAGGCAATGTATTCACATCTAATGATCTATGATAACAAATACTGAAATATAACTGAATAATTAATTTGTTCAACATGTAGATCTAAACCTAGGTTCCACATTGTAAAATAATGTATAAAATAAACATTCAAACAGGAAATACCTCACCTAATACTGTAAGGAACTAAACTACTAGCTCTACTAACATCAGTCACCAATTTATCTCATACAACAATTCATCAAATGTCAGGAGTCATCACAAGACGCTGCTGATCACCATCGCATTTATTTCCACATTTCCCATACAGACCAGTAGTGTATTGTCTTTAATCACATTCTTCCAATCTCTTCCAGTAAAAATAAAATTATAGATCTATTTTGAAGATTTAAAAGCAAATAAAATATATTTTAAAACTGATTAATTATAACTGATTTATTATGAACATGTTAGACACATTTTTTCCGAATTCAGGACAATTAGCACAAGTTAACAAAAATTTCTTGCTTCCACCATTCTTAACGCCATTAAAATAGCAAAGTGCACCTAGCTAGATGAACCCTCCATCATTTTCATTACAATCATCATCGTTACCACACAGCGAATGATTTATCATTATAGCGAGATACAGACATAGCTAAATGAATAGCCGTGGGTGAGAGTAGATCCATGGATCGTCATAGTAAAATTGTCAATTTACGGCAGCAGTCAGCATACAGTAAAGCTAGACAAAGTACAATCTTATGTTCATTTCACAAAACAATGCATATAAATAATTTAAAATTAAACTGTTCTCGAAAAAATCTTTTGAAGATCTAAATCTGAATTGACTAAGAAAACTTCTCTGTCCATATAATATCCTGCTTGATTCAGTGTTCCATGATCCCACCAAAGACATCAAGAACAAATCCGCTTCAATCGTGGAAAATATCAACAAAATTGCTGCTTATAGGACACACAGAAAATCACTGATGTCTTATCGATTCATATCTAAAAGATACTACTATCGATTGTTGTTTTGATCAGCGATTTTTTTCATTTTTTTCAACAATTCATTTCTTCCTTGTTACAATATTCGACGCCAGCGTTAAAAGGATATGACGTAGATACAGTACCTACGTCATAACCAGGGCAGGGTATAAGTTGTTCCCCAAATAACAGAGACTATTCTATAGAAAGAGTCATCATTATGTCAAATTTGTTACAAATTCAATCTCATTAAAATCATAACTCTCACTTACAAATTCAATCTCATTAAAATCATAACTCTCACTTCCAAGGTAGCGAAGTGCGTAGTGAAGGAACATAACATTATTTATATATTTTATAAAACATAACACATATCAAATATAATGATGATCACATTTCTATCCAATCTAGTTTTTATATCAATTTACGGTCAGTTGCTATATAATATTACGTATTACATATGAATTTTTGCATCATAGTTTGTGGACATTTCTATTGAAAATTGTGCAAGAGTTAAATCATACTGGAGTGCAGGTATTAGTTACCAGTTCTCCAGTTAACGCACTGTCTGTCGGGGCTAAAAATAGAGCAAGCTCGTTGATTGGCTACATTTCTTCTAGGGTTTACTTATTATGAAGGGAAAAGGAAATGGATAATGATAGAAAAATCAAATTTAGATGCTCGTGCATTGGTTCATCTATTCTGGGGGGGGGGGGGGGGGAGGTTAATATTGCGACGACATGAACAGTGTTTTCATTTTTGCCTATGAAAAACACCCTCGTACAAATAAGATCGCTTTGTGTTTCGATGTTTTTTCTATAGCATAAGTATGCACGGACAGTGGACAAATTCATGTATAAAGATTATTTGAATATATATTCGTAATTTGTATGTACATTCAAACAATATTATTTCCTCATTTTGTTTTAATACTTTTTAGGTGTAACGTATGCTCCATGTAAGTAACTTTGCTTCCCAGCATCATTTTAACTAACAATTTATGAACATTTCTATCAGTGTGTTGAGTTTTTCTTTTTTGTTGCTTATCGTAAACTTAATGTAAGTCTCAAAGTATTAATTTGCCAAAATTGACGACTTGCAATATCAGAAAATTTAATATACATACAATACCGAAGCGTTTTTCAAATAAATGTTGTCACGGTTTACTTTGTTTTATCTCGATAGGCATTGACTCAGACATGGTTTTGTGTGATGAAAAGGTCTTACTCAGATGTTTTGAGGCTTCCTTTGTCACCTTTACACTTTTCACTGGTTCATGGAGGTTAAGACGAAATTGCAACAACATTGTGTCATTATAACGAGTTCTGCAATAACTTCATTGCAAAACTCGCTGAAACAAGCCATGTTATCTGTTGACTATTGACATTCTCTTATTATCTCTGTATATTTCCACAAGATGTGCGGTTTAATTGAATCGACAGCGAGCAATTTATGATTGTGGAATTCCTTTTATAATATTCGTAAAATCACCCTTATATCAATATGATTTTTTTTAAACCAATTGAATGCTATTTAACATTAAAGCTTTATAATTTCAGATTTTATTCCAACTCAAGCTTTAGGTATGATTGTTTTTCTCTTTTTTCAGTTCACTTCTTTAAGAATTCTTTTTAAACAGTCATATATAAACGTATTTAAGAAAGCATTTTCTTATGGATAGCTGAATATGTCAAATTTGACACAAGTTCAATCTCATTCACATCATAACTCTCTTTAGCAAGGTAGAAAGCACGTAGAGACGGAACATAAACATTGATATATTTTTAATGAGGATGGTTACGAGTTACATTGCTTTATATACATGTATATGCATTGCATTAGCCTATATCATCATGCAGTTGTAAAGGAATATCTTAGAAAGACTTTATACATATATAATTTAAGAATATCATATAAGCTTTCTAGTGTTAAAACGTTTGCTTAGGAAATAATATCACGGTTTGTTTTCTTTTAAATTACTTAATCATGGTTTCACGTATCCTCCAGGAAAGGAAACCCGTTAATCTTGATTATCCACAAATTTGCATATAAAACATTCGTTTAATTTAAGATTGATCACTATGATTTGGTAAATTTCTATCATGAGTTTAGTTTTCAATTTAAACAGAAAATTCCTTCAATCTCATTGCTTAAAAACGATAATCCTTTAAAAAATATTCTCGAATGTTAGTAAGCATGAGTAATATATTTAATGTATGCTCAAATTTAATATTGAATATTTTTTCTGACTTGTGCAAAAAGTAAGCGCTTCTTTCTCAAACGATCAGTAAATATTTTCTCGACTCTGAAACAAAGTAAACTTTATGAAAAGAAAAACAACAACAACAGAAACATTTTTTACAAACATGTATTATGTATAATTTCATATTTTTTACCACGACTCCTGTTCCATGTGAGAATTTTTGCTTTGAATTTATTATTGTGTCCTTGAAATACATTTTTGCAATATAATATGTCAATATTCAAATGTATTCATGCGTGTTATTATTACCTGTTTCTCTCGATTAAAAGCTATGCCTCAAGCTAAGTTATAATTTCAGTTTACCACATATTCTAGATAACTTTTTCTATGATTAGGTTTGCTTGAAATTTATTTTCGAATGAAATGAATTATGCAGATATCTATATGATACCACGTGTTGTGTTAAGTATACTGCTTAAAATGTTCATATGTTATATTTTACTTTATATTAACTGTCTATACCAAATGGTCACTTCCAGCTTCAGTTGCGGAAAAAGAAATCATACGTACTAGGTTTCCCGAGACATGGCTTTGGGATGAATATCATATTGGGTTAGTATTGTATTATGGCCTAAAAACACTTTGAAATATAATTTCCTCAATTGTCTTCTGAATGGATAATGTTTATACTCTTCATAGAATAAAAGGTATGCATTTATATACTTATCTATTATATTCTTTTTCTAAAGCCAATAGCTATATGTTTTGATCCTCCGTTCCAAACGTACCAAACAACAACAACACATTGGAGTAGTCGGGTGGCTCGCCTAACCAAAAAGACGTAGTTTATACGGCTGGATATTCCTTACTGACGAATCTTTTTAACATTTGCCTAAGTTGTTAACTTAATTTACCATTTCAGTCCATCTGGAGTACACACAGTGATCCATACAGTCCCTGATGCTATAACGTCTTGGGTTTCATCTGTCTTCGCAACAAATCCAGATTCTGGTTTGAGCATTACTGGCACAAAGCAAAAGGCAATTGTTTAATATTCTATCTTACGCAACAAAAAATATAGATCGAAAGAAATGCTCCTTCGATCTCCAGAGAATTACCCTTAACACTATATTATTCTGCATTAGTTTATTGTTTTTAGATAACTGAAAGGGCACACATTATTTTACTCGGGGACTATATGCTGCTTTTAGTGGAATGACTCGAATGAGTCATATAAAGATTCCAGGTAAATTTTCAAATCAACGCATCTGCAAAAGTTTCGAAATTCTAAATTCCCCATACCACGTTTAATTGTTATCTTCTACTTAACCGATACCAGGAGCCGTGGTTGGTATCTTGAATTTATCAGTGATTCGGTTTAATTAGAGACTGCAACATTTTCGATGTTGCCGTCATGTTTTAATATCTAAGCGGAACAGATTCAATCAATCCGAGTCTGCATTATTTATTTAATGTTGTTGTTTTCATTGCTACAGAGGGATCACCCCTTTTCCTGATTTCTATACTTGACAAAACTGGTGTCAAGTGCCGTTTGGTAGTTGGCAAAAGATGACAGTATTTCATTTCAGTGTTGTTTTATTTTTCTGGTCTTTTGGGTTCAATGATTCAAACACGTTGGTGTTGAAAAAATAATAGATCTACTGCTAAAACCGGTGTTGTGGTGGTGAGGGGTGTTGCACTGTTTTATTATCAACAGTTTTCCTTGCTTCCGATGAATCATCCCTTTTTCAAATATTCATTTCAGTGTCTCGAAATTAAACCTATTTCTTTTATCATATTTCAGATAACAGTTAAAAAAAGCTTTTTCATAACAATGGATTTACCACCATCAATGATACTGGGTGAGGAAGTTCTAGTACAAATAACAGTGTTTAATTACATGCCTGCTCCCCAACAGGTACACACATTACTACTTGAAATTAAATTTCCTAATATATATATTTTAATTAATATACAATCTTAAAAAATCTATTGTCATTTTAATTAATATAATTTGTCATTTGACAATGTGTGTCCAAAGAAGTTTACATGTTACAATGAAAGTAAAGCACAGCAATGACCCGTCAATTAAAGTCCAACATATTTTCATCTCAATTAGTCGAAGTGTGAAAACAGCCGACTGATCAAAGGTTGGTGACATCAAGGTCAGATGTTGTCACTCGTGATTCACACATTTTATAGTAATTTTTATTGCCGGTCATCATGTTCTATTAACACGTCGTAAAGTGGCTTTCATCGGTTTCAGGACTTAATTTGTTTTAACAGTTAGATAACTAAATTAAGATTTAATTACATTTGTTTAAGAAAGTTGACTCGTGCCAGTCTGACAGGTGTTAGTTAATTAACAACCTAGGTATTGATGTGTGTTATCAATACAATACAATACAATTCAATTGATGTGTGTTATCAACGTAAATGACAGTGTATAATTGGGGATACGGACAAAAGCCCCCCCGGACGAAAGCCCCCCCCCCGCCTAAAAAAGACAAGGTGGACAAAAGCCCCCCATGAGATTTACACATAGGACAAAAGCCCCCCCCCATAAAAAGTAAAGGTAGGACAAAAGCCCCCCCCCCCCCATGGTCAATCAAATTTACATAAAGTGTATTAAAGTTGTGTTTTTTATGTGTTTAAAAGATACGTATGGACATCACATGTAGATGACATAGTGCTAAGGATATTAATTTGATCCCTTTACAAAAGTGATTAAGCATTACTACTCTTCAAACCCTTGTTGTGTATGTGAAAAGCTATGAATTCAGTATCGCATGCATGCAGTATTTCATCTGATATCATATACTTTGTTATCACTTCAATATATACATTATAAATAAACATTAAAACATTTTTTTTTTCATTTTTATTTAAAAGTTTGTGTGAACTTTGATGAATTTGAGCACCTGTGCGTGTGAAAAAAGATGGGGGGTGGCTTTTGTCCTATCTGTATTTTTTAGGGGGGGGGGGGTCTTTTGTCCTATGTGTAAATTTCATGGGAGGGGGGCTTTTGTCCACCTTGTCATTTTTAGTCGGGGGGGGGGGCTTTCGTCCGGGGGCGGCGGCTTTTGTCCTACACTCGTATAATTAATGTTCCGTCATATTGCATACATTAATACAATGCCCATCAAAAGTCTGGAGACACATAACATTTCACTAATTTTTGGGTAATCTTGGCAAAATCTGTCGAGCAAATGCAGTTTTATTGTTTGAAATATAATATTACCTCCATTTATTATCTTTTGGCATAAAAAATGTTAAGAATGTCATAAGATTTTCATATTTATATGACAAACCTACAGTTTTACATATTTTTTAGAGAAAACTAAACTTAACTAGTGTTTTCGAACACTTCAAAAACCTTTAATAATCCATAAAAAATTTCTGTCCAAATATCAACATAACTTCCATGGTCAGTCTAGTGAATGTTTCACTACAATACAATGGTTCCATTTGAAGACAGAGTGCGCTGTAAAACCCTGAGAAGTCAAGGAGTGGCTGCTTCAGAAATTGCCAACATTCTGGGAATAGGAAGGTTGGTTACTTAAATTTATGATTTTTTTTTCACTTGCTGAATACTTAAAAATTCTTTTGCAAGATCAATATCAGCTTTGGATGTTTCTTTTGTGGTTAACTTCAATTTCCTTCTTCCAGAGCCACTGTTCACAAGATATTGGATCGATTTGAGGCTACTTGAAGTTACCATGATCGACCTAGATTGGGCCGCCCAAAGGTCTCTACACTAAGAGACGCTCCCCTTGCTTATCAGGCAATCTTTACAAGACAGGAGACTCATTGTTCCATTGCTCAAGAGGTCATGGAAATTGACTGAGTTAATGCTTTACATTCCACAATTTGTCGCAGACTTAAGCAAGTTTGATTAGAGTGTCATCAAGCCATTAAGAAGCCACTACTGACCAATGATCATAGACAGAAGCATTTGGCTTTTGCTAGAGCACATTCTGGCTGGACATGGATGGATTGGTCCACTGTTTTGTTCACCGATGAGAGCAAGGTCAACATGTTCCAGACAACGTCCAGGTGAAACTCTTTTGGACGAATGTGTTGTGTCAACAGTGAAATTTCAAGGTGGTGGAATCATGGTATGGGGTGCCATGAGCTTCCAGGGACCTGGTATTCTGAGGGTCGTGCATGGAAACTTGAATTCCAAAGGTTACATTGACATTTTGTGCAATTGTGCAATACCATCGCCTCATCTGCTAGTGTATGGAGATGCGTGCTGGTACCAAGATGATGGTATTCCGTGCCACCGGGCAAAGGTAGTGAAAGAATGGCACTCCCAGAAGAGCATTAGGTGCTTGGAGAACTGGCCACCACATTCTCCAGACCTAAACCCTATCGAAAACGTGTGGCATGACATCAAAATGAAGTTCGGGAACAAGCATCATGGTAATCTGAGAGAACTGTCAATGATTTTGATTCCTGGTATGAGTTGATAGTTAATAGATGTAGAACATTAGTTAAGAGTATACCTAGAATAATTCAAGCCGTTTTGGCAGCTTGAGGCGGACACACTTAGCACTTACTGTGTGGTCTTTTCTGTACTGCTGTTTGTTGGTTTTTGTGCTATTAGGTAAATGAGACAAAATTTGGCATTTTAGACTTTTAATCTAAGTTGTGCATTGTTTTTTTGTGTTCATATGTGACATGAATGAATTAATATGTATCATTATACATTAAGAATGAATTAAATTGGGCATTTTGCCAAGAAAACTTGTTTTTATTGACTTGTCTCCAGACTTTTGATGGGCACTGTATGTACTTCACAATAGTTGCTACTTTCGTTTTCGTCCGATGATCAATTCACTTCAAATATTAGATAAATTGTTGTTGAAATAAATGTGTTATTGTGCTTTTATTGTAATGAATTGGCATGAGTGCTTACTAAAAACATGTGCTTTACTGATGAATACTGACAAACTTGCATTTATGTCATTGCTACGAATATTTGTGTTTATGTTGCACTATTAATATACATGTATTAAATTTTGAATAATATATTTTATAATTTGTAGTTGTAAGTGATTTACCGTCATTTCAACTGTTAAATATTGCAGCATTGCCGTTATCAACAATAACAAACCTATTACTTTGGACATTCAATCAGGCACATATATATGTACGAATGTAAACGTATTGGCAACAGATCCACGTTACTCGAATTCTGTTTCTCTCGAAGTAAAATGCCCAGTCCCTTGAAATTCGAGTTACCGAGAGTTAACTGTACATGTATATATATTTTAATTAATATAATTTGTCATGTGACAATGTGTGTCCAATGAAGTTTACATGTTACAATGAAAGTAAAGCAAAGTAAGGAAAATAGGAAATTCTCCAAAAGTCATGTCTACATGTATTTGTTTCAACACACTATAAATTGACATGTATTAATTGTATTAATAAGATTCTGTCAATATTTAGTTTGAAAATTACATTTTCATTTGACGTATACGAATAAGTTAATTATCTTACACTTGATTAAAACTTACATATTGTTATTTTAAAGGTATTTCTTCAAGTTATCAGGTCTGATGATCCTTCAAATCCAATTCCAGCAGCAACAATGGTATGATATATATGGGGAGCTGATTAATACATTAACTAAACAAAATTAGCTACTTTTATATGTCTATAATACTTACATGATAAGTAAATTCATTTACTTAGAAAGTCTGCGCAGTTATTATTAATTATGATTTAAATGATATGCTGTCGACATTGGACAATGATTTGAAATGTGTAAAGTTACAAGCAAACATATGTAATTATTGATAAGATATCCAGAGTGTAACGCAAATGCCGGGTTGAGTAGGACAGACCCACTTACCTTATCTTAAAAGATAATACATTGTCATTCAAGCTTCCCAGAAAGAAGCTGTATAAATACAACAATGCAAGATATATTTACAGAAAAATCATAATTTTATTACTATCATTATTATCTTGTATTCTATACACTTACCTGTGCGTACAAAATTAAAGTTTTGAATTGAAACCTGAGCAGAATTTGATATGCGGAAAATCTAGTGATACGTTTTGCATTTTGGTCAGGTTCAAGCAAATGAAGGTCATTCAACATATGTTCGAGTTACGCCAAAAGCTCTTGGTACTCTAAAGATCAACGTTCACGCAAAAGCAGGATTCTTTGCTGCATCTGCAACAGATGCAATTGAAAAAGAAGTTACAGTATTGGTAAAATATGATTCTTTAAAGATTTAACAGTATGCTTTTTGTGTCGCCTCTACGAAGTAGTGGCGACATATAGGGATCACTTCTCCGTCGCCTGTCTGTCCGTCTGTCCGTCCGTCACAAAACTTGTCCGGACTACTCCTCATAAACTACTGGTGCAATTTCATCCAAACATTACAGGAATGATCAGTACCAAGTCTTGTTGTGCATATTGTCAGCATTTTCCGGTTCAATGATTTTTGTAAGAGTTATGGCCCTTTAATAATTTTTATTTTTAAAGTTTGTCCGGACTACTTCTCTTATACCACTAATGCAATTTCAATGAAACTTTACAGGATTAATCTGTAGGTCAAGTCCTTGCGCATATTGCACGGGTTTTCCAGTTGAATGATTTTTGGCCGAGTTATGGCCTTTTGATAAAAAGGTGTTTTTTTCTGTGTGTTGCCAGATAAAAGCTTGTCCGGACTACTTCTCATAAACTACTGGTGCAATTTTATCCAAACTTTACAGGAATGATCAGTACCAAGTCTAGTTGTGCACTGTCTGTCTGTCTGTCTGTCTGTCCGTCTGTCACAAAACTTGTCCCCAGTACTCCTCATAACTTACCGGGGCAATTTCATCCTAACTTTACAGGAATTTATGTCGCCACTACTCCGATCACTTCTCCGTCTGTCACAAAACTTGTCCCAACATGAAATTGGCCATCATGAGGCGACACATGTGATCACTGATCGCTCTTGTAAATAGTATGCTTTGTTTTTACGAAGAACTTTTGGTATTGCTTTTGTATCACATTATCTTAGTAAAAGAGAAATATTTTTCACAAGATACCTAAATGCGTTAAGTGGATGCAATTCGTGTCGCTTGCATGCAGACACATGATACAATGTAAACCGTGCTAAAAGTCTAATGAAATAAGACAGTTTTTGAAAGATATTTCCTGGCTATAAAAAAGGTTAACGTATAATTAACCTAACCCGTTTTAAACAATGAACGTTTAACACAATTATTTATAAAAAAAAATATTTTTGTGCTCTAGCCCATAGGTGTTCATAAAACAATAAATGATCAGCATCTTGTTGATGTGAGCAGTGGAAGCCGCACGTTTACAAGACTATATTTTTGAAAGCTCCTAAAAACATGGTAAATGGAACCAAACATGCGTACATGCAGATTACAGGTATCGCATGAAGCAAATTTGACGATGCTTTAACACTTTTTATATCTTTATTCAATCACATTAATACGCTTAGAAATATGAACTTAAAAACGACATTCAACTATATAAATCAAAGCAGACTAACAAAAGAAATTCATTAGATTTGATGTCTTCAAAATAAAACTAGTCGAAGAGTAATAAATTTAAGATAGCACAATAGTTTGGGGGGATCATAGAAGTATATGTGAACAGAATGTTTTGATTTTTCAACACATAGCATAGGTTAATGAATTCATTTGAAATGTATCTGTATGATAAACGTACTAAAACGAAATGAACGTGATTACGACAAGCAATATGAACGTTACATTTATTGTCAACGCAAGGTGTTTGTTTAGAGGGTTTGTTTTACTGGATGACCCTTGTAAATTCTAATGCAGATGAAATGAAACTTATTGTATATTCTTCGTGTAAATTACAGTTTTACACTAAATTATTTAAACTTGTTCATACAGGTAACTTTATGGTACCAAGTATATCGGGTCTACAAAAACTGATACAGTTACCTCACGGAGGCGGGGAACAAACCATGGTTAATTTCGCACCAGATGTTTATATAACGAAGTATTTGAATATTACTAACCAGTTAACAGAGTATGTGAAGAACAATGCAATATCTTCAATCAAATCAGGTGCAGTTACTTTTGATAAACAGTTAACATTTACTTTCAATTGCGTTAAATCTTCTGATTTAACAGATTGTTTTTTTTTATCTAATCCAGGTAAATATAATTATTTTTTAAATTGTGTGTTGGAAATAATTTATGATTAAAAAGTCACTGATTTTTTTTCAAAATTACTGAGTTATCACACGAACCAGAGCTTTAAGAATTTAAATTTCTGATGTAAATACTTTTCAACCGAATACGGTTTGGCGTTAGGCTTTAGTTAGTAATGATTTCCAGACAATGACATCAGATTACAGACGACGCTGCACACAACGTAAGTGACCGATCCCCATACTTGAGAAACGACTTGCTCCGCTTAAATTATGGAGGCTATTCGTTGCCAAAAATCCAGCCTTGTTGATCTGAGTTGAACAGTTTGTTTACGGACAAAATACAATTGTATTTCTTTGTATGTAAACTTCAATGATGAATTCTTGGATTGAGTTTGCCGATTTAACATTGTGAACATGCATTTCAACAAAATACATTTTAATAAACTGTTTTGCTGATAGTAGCAATACCAAGTGTTCATCTTAACATGCGGAATACACATTGTTCGTGTATACGCCTACAAAATAGAAGTTACTTTCTTAGCTTTACATTGTCAAACCACCATGATTCGGATCATCATGATCCAGCTTTACACGTTTTTCAATAGGAGATAAAATAAGCTCCGCCCATTTTCCCGCCCACTACATCATCGTAAATAAACGTATTTATCCGCTCATTTTCGGTATTCACCGTCGGCGACAAGAAGGAAACGCGTAGTTTTTGTTACCACACCTTTTAGGTGTTTTGTTATTCACCTAACATAATTCACTCGCATGATTGCCATTTTATGCATTTATACAATCAACATCAGCGGACTTTAAAGGATAATAGGCATATAAGTTTTAAAACGTTGTAGATACCACATTTTAAAACGTTGTAGATACCACAGAAGAAAAAAACTAAAAAAAAAAAAAAAATAAACTCACCAGGTTACTTACTGTCTGAGGTTAAATATTTTTCAAGGAAGTAAAAACTATTGATAAAACTACATGTATATTCAACGACAAAATAATTTTTTACTGAGGGGAAAATTGCATAGGAATGAGTAACATTTACAGTTAAGCTGCTACCTTACCACTTTCAAATTTTCAAGTCAACATCTGATAGAGATTAATTCTGGCTGTTGTCTTTCCTAGTTGTAGCATTTACTAATATATTAGTAACCTTAATTCTAGCGTATGACTTAACAAGAAAAAACTTTTAACAATAGTAAAATTAAAACCAAAGTTGTAACTTTTTTATTTTTACCATACTGTATAGATATATTTTCCCATTTTTACCATTTTATTTTTCAAAAAAAATATTTAAATGAGTCCAAAGTATGTTGATTATCAATTTATGTATACCTTGTTTATTTTATCTCTTAGAAAGCCATCACTTACAAAACTTAATAAATATTCTGTGTAGTATTTCATGTCTCTGCTTTTAATCAGAAAGGCAGCAAGTCTAGGTAATAGCTATTGACATCATGTATACACAGATCAAAGAGCTGCCATTGATTCAGTACAATGCATAATAGATGTATATAAAGACCTTAACCTACGTCAGCTTACATATATTTAATAATAAAAGGCTAAATCACATCTAATGACTCAAAATACCTCTCTATGGAGGTAAACAGAGATGCTAGGATACACTGAATATTTATTTCAACATTAAAATGGGACAAATTCACAACTATTTGGTTATACAACGGAATAATCGGTGGTAAACTTTGAATTGTTTCGTGGTTATACACTTAGTAAAAAATATGGGGTTTTCTACAAACCCAACATAGTCATTTAAAGAAAGATGGCACAGGCTTACTGTTCAGTTCTCTATATATTCGTGTTGCCAATAGTGACTTCCATGTATCGCATTCTAGTACTATTTGCTGAATGTAAAAGACATGCGTACGAGTACTACCGTGAAACGTTTGAAGGCACACACACCTTTAACAACACTTCCCGCTACCTAGATGACATTCTTAACACGAATAATCCTTATTTCGATCAATTGGTTTCTAAAGTATATCCCAGTGAACTTAAATTGAATAAAACTAACTCTTCAGACGTTATTTCTTTTTTAGATTTAAACATTTCTATCATTAACAATACTATAGTAACTAAAATCTACGATAAAAGAGATGATTTTGATTTTAATATTGTTAACTATCCACATTTAGATGGAGATGTACCTCATGCTACATCACATGGGGTGTATATTTCTCAATTAATTAGATTTGCTAGGGCGTCCAGTCGTGTTGATGATTTTAATGAGCGCAATTTATTTATTACTTACAAACTTCTTAAACAAGGTTATCGCTATCATAAATTGCGTAAATATTTTACAAAGTTTTATACAAACTTCGTAGGATCATGGGTCATAGTAATTTTTCTGCCGTCTTCACTAATTTTGTTATAATATCATTATTTTTATTTACACTTTAATTAGAATTTCATTTGGCGGGGATTATTTTTATTTACACTTTAATGTCATTCAGGAACATATTGGGGCTAAGAGTGAGGTTTGGCGCGCCTTAAACTGGTTTAAACTCCCCAGTGGTTTAACTACCACTGACCGTTCCAAGACCCTCTGTGTTCCTTCACGTGTTTTTCATGTCTGTTTTGTTACTTGTTTTGGATGTTTACATGTTTTGTGATGTCTGTCTTGTTGGATTGTCGTTGACGGTAAGTATTTTCTCACCCCCCCCCCACACTTTTCACCCTTACAGCCCTTATACTTTTAATTCTTTTTATGCCCCCGCCATATAATGGCAGGGGCATATAGTGTTACCCTGTTCCGTCATTCCGTCCTTCCGTCCTTCCGTCATCATCAGTTTCCATTCATTATCTTAATAACCCTTGCACATATTGAACTCAAATTTGACATATGGATATGTCATGAGAAAATACAGGTCAAGTTCGAAATTGGTCATGGTTCGATGATTTTTGGCAGAGTTATGCCCCTTTTACATTGAAAATAATATGAAATTTTCAGTTTCCGTTCATTATCTCCCAAACGGTTCAAAACATTCAATTCAAAATTGACATATGGATATGTCATGAGAAAATACAGGTCAAATTCGAAATTGGTCATGGTTCGATGATTTTTGGCAGAGTTATGCCCCTTTTACTTTGAAAATAATATGAAATTTTCAGTTTCCGTTCATTATTCTCCCAACGGTACAACACATTCAACTCAAACTTGACATTATTGATATGTCATGAGAAAGTACAGGTCAAGTTCAAATTTGGTCATGGTTCGATGATTTTTAGCAGAGTTTATGCCCCTTTACTTTGAAATAATATGAAATTTTCAGTTTTCCGTTCATTAACTCCCCAATGGTACAACACATTCAACTCAAACTTGACATATGGATACGTCAAAGGAATGCGCAGGTCAAGTTCAAATTTGGTCATGGTTCAATGATTTTTGGCAGAGTTATGCCCCTTTCACTTTGAAAATAATATGAAATTTTCAGTTTCCGTTCATTATCCCCCCAATCGTACCACACATTTAGCTCAAACTTGACATATCGATACATCAAAGGAATGCGCAGGTCAAGTTCAAATTTGGTCATGGTTCGATGATTTTTGGCAGAGTTATGCCCCTTTTACTTTGAAAATAATATGAAATTTTCAGTTTCTGTTTATTATCTCCCCAACAGTATTAAACATTCAACTCAAATTTGACATATTGATACGTCAAAGGAATGCGCAGGTCAATTTCAAATTTGGTCATGGTTCGATGATTTTTGGCAGAGTTATGCCCCTTTCACTTTAAAAATAATTTGAAATTTTCAGTTTCCGTTTATTATCTCCCCAACAATATTACACATTCAACTCAATTTTGACATATGGATATGTTTTTGGAATGCGCAGACCAAGTTCGAATCTGGTCATGGTTCAATGATTTTTGCAGAGTAATGCCCCTTTCACTTTGAAAATGATATGAAATTTACAGTTTCTGTTCATTATCAACAAAACAGTGTTACATATTCAACTCAAAATTGACATATGGATATGTCAAAGGAATGCGCAGGTCAAGTTGGAATTTGGTCATGGTTCGATGATTTTTTGGCAGAGTTATGTCCCTTTCACTTTGAAAAATAATATAGATACATCTTAGGAATAAGCAGTTTAAGTTTGAATTTGGTCGTGGTTCAATGATTTTAGACAAACTTATCTTTCCTGAATGTTGGAAAAATTTTGAACTTTCAGTTTCAGCACTCATACTTTTGTGGAAATGTATATAGCCATTATGTTGGCTACAAATATGCAATATGCTATTTTTAAAAGGTTAAAGACTGAATAATTTCAGTGCCTTGAACATTGTATAAAAATGGTTAAGACTGAATAATTTCAGTGCCTTGAACATTGTATAAAAATGGTTTGTGTTAGCATTGAAAAGTTTTAAGGGCTTTGAACTTAGAATGAAAAAAATAATTTGTGCAAACAAATTTGGAACTAAATATTATAACATTTGAAATTTTGGCTGCATGCGGGGGCATCCGTGGCATGATGACACATTTCTAGTTTAATTTAATTTAATGCCTTATGGGCCCGTTTTAGTTGATATCATTTCACATTACATGTCCCACTCCCTTCACCCTTATGACCGCTCTAGGTTTTTTTGAGTGTGTCGGAGGCCGCGTCCTGTGAACGTTGCCTTAGCCTTGTTGATCTTTATTCTTGTTTTTTTACCATTGAATACAAATAGTGGTGTGTGTCATTATATATGGGAAACATTCCCTTATGTTAACTCACCAACTTTAGTTTTTGCATAATATAATGCTCATTATCAGTATAAACGTTGTTACATTGTTACATTATATCTTGACCAATTTTGCAGTACTTGAAAATCCTGTACTAGAATACTTTTTAAAGAATCAGAGGATGTTCAAAGTCAACTGTAATGCAGTTAATGTATGTGAAATTTATAACAGTTTCTATATAATTTGAAATATTTTTGTACCAGCAAGAGTTTACCTTCTTTATATTCTGCTTTCGTGAAAAATTGGCTCGCCTATTAATTTTCGTCTATTTCCGTGATAATTCCATATATGGAAGTTGCAAAATCGTTTACAAATGTTAATCGCGTTAGAATGTAAAAGGAAAGTGTGGTGTTAATTGTCAACCTGAGTGTGTCAAGTTGATGCAGTTACATTCTCAACGTCATGATGCACAGCATTAAACGTGTTGTGTACGTTCTTTCGATTTACATTTCTACATGTCGCACATTTAGAGTTATACATTTATAAATACAGTTTGCAATTTATCTAAGTTGCATGTTTACAGCTTCAATTTTATCAAATCGAGATAATCAAAATGCATAATACCAGTGTAGTATGTAACTCTCGGATTGACAGTTAGATTTTTACTAATCTGTGTAGTAGAACCGAAGTATGCATTGTCAAGTTGCAAAGGCTTGATTTTTGGCAACAAATAGCCTCCATATTAAATATCCTCTGACTGTAAACATGTGAAAATCGCAATATAGATTTGTTATAGTGAAAGTTTCACTTTTTACACACTTTTTTTGCAACAGGTTATCAACACGAGCTAGGATACAGACATAGTGACGGGTCATTTAGCATCTGGGGCGAAAGGGATCAATACGGCAGCACATGGTGAATATAGTTAATTAAAAATGTTCAGAAATGTAAAAGGGTTTGCATTCATTACGTATTTATAAGCCATCTCTGAAATATACTGACTATGAACTTAAAGGGACTCCACTGAGGTTTAAAAGCCTAAAAACATAACATTAAAATTTCTTACATAAATGAACTGGGGCGCTTTAAACAGAAATATATGCAAAGATAGTTAAGAAATATACTTTAAAATAAATCGAAAATCGTAGTTTTATGCTTTTCTTAGCCTAATTTGAGTGAAAAGCGTTTAAACGCTTTTCATTTTTGGTCATTTTTTTACAATTTGAATAATTATTATTATGGCAAAACGAAGTGCACGAATGATCTGAAAGTTTGCACAAAGATTTGTGGTCTACACCTACATCAAATGGTACATTTATCTGGAAAAAAATATTTTCAGTCCCATCATGTCAAAAAACCTCAGTGGAGTCCCTTTAAGATAATGTGTGCCTTTAAATAGGACTCATTCAAAACAACTGAACTTCTATACGAAAGCAATAAGGGAGGTACGTGAAATATTTATTTATATATATACAAGTAAACGTTTTATTATCACCTTTTTATACATATACTTCTTCTTTTTCAGGCTTACTGCTTATGTTTTGAAATGTTTCCATGAAGCTAAATCGCTGATTACAATTGACAGCAATGTGCTGACTACGGCTATGAACTGGCTTCTGTTGCAACAAAATACAGATGGCTCTTTTAGAGAGATGATACCGGTCCTTTATGTAGATGTTGGTAACATTTTCTTATGCTAAACATGTTTAGACTAGAAAAAAGAATGTATTGTTCAAATGAGATGCATGAAGGAAAAGTAATGTTTGTTTCTAAAGAAATGTTCCAGCATAGCGTAAGAATGAAATTCAGAGATATTCTTTAAAACATGTATTCCAACTATAAAAAATTTTGTCTGGACATTTACCTTGTTTTTCTAAGTTTTTTTTTTTTCTTTTTAGCACAGGAAAACAGGGACTGGTATAAAGCTGACAGCTTTCACATTGATTTCAATTATGGAATGTAGGAATATACCTAATGTTCAGGTCCAGACTATTTATCCTAATGAAGTTATTTATCATTTATTTTCATATTAAGTTCATTTGTTTGTTTGATTGGGTTTTACGTCACACCGACACAGGATAGGTCATTTGGCGACGTTCCAGCTTTAACGTTGGAGGTAGACCTCATGTGCCCTACCGTGCATTATTCAAGGCACGGATGGGCACTTGAGTAGAACCACCGACGTTTCGTAAGCTAGCTGGATAGCTTCCTCACATGAAAGAATACAAAGTCCCTGTCGGGATTCGAACCCACAGCGGTGAGGGGCAAGTGGTTTCATATTAAGTACAATTTATTAAATCCACTTTGTAAGTTATAATATGATTCATAAATGTGCGTGCGTGCTTATGTGCGTATGTATGTTTGTAATACTGCTGTAATTATCATTGAGACTGAACACATTGAAATGTACATATTCTAGGAAAATGCAATATCATCTGCAATAACAACAGGAAAGCAGTATTTGGAATCAAAATTGTCTACTGTATCCGATGCATACACACTGTCTATTGTATGTTATGCTTTGGCATTGTCAAAAAGTTCCTTTGGTCCTTCATGCTTCACTAAATTGGACCATTCCAAACATGTCGATGGTAATGTGATATTTACATTTTTTTCTTTCCTTTACTTGCGCCATAAATGAATCATAAATAGTTCATATATGTATCATCGCAATGTCTTTGGATCAGGCAGCTTTATTTATACAAGCATACAGAAAAAACAAACAAATATAAGCGCAAAAATAGCTCGTACACATCGTAAAGCCAATGTCATAACTTACACATTCCGTATAATCTATTTTTGTCGCTTTTGTGAAAGAACCTAAATACATAACATGTTGTAAAATACGTGTTTTGTAACCTTATTTCTTGATTTCAAGAAAAGATATAATTCACCTTAAGCTAAGACTTGCGTACTTGTTTCAAGAGGTTTTATCTAATATAATTCAGGTGACTATGTTTACTGGCAAGAAAGAACTACAATTGTTCGTCGTCAGCAGATTACAGGAACGTTGCAAAATAGAGCACCTGCACGTGATATTGAGACATCGGCATATGCGTTACTTACATACATGACCTTAGGGCATCATGCTGAAGCTTTCCCCATCGTTAAATGGCTTGTTGCACAAAGAAATCCTGATGGAGGGTTTTCGTCAACTCAGGTACATGTATATAATTCTTCTGTTCAAGATCATAGATCATGATTATAGCAAATAAAGTTTCTTTTCCAAATGCTAAAGGGATACATTTAATAAAAAATACCTTAGATAAGATTTAGATTGTTTGTTGAACGGTCTGAAGATTGAAGATATCTCTTGCTGCTGAGAAATGGAAAGTGTTAGTCAATACCGACTTGGTTTCATTTGATCAGTTCGTGAAAAATAACTTTATAAGTGCGCACTTTGTACCGACTTAAGCAGAATTCAGCTTCAATCCTTCGTAAAACCAAAGATTTCGAGTAACCGTTTGATGTGCTATCTAAAAGTTTTTTACGCTTTCATACAACACTTGACATGTTAACAGTGCTAAAATCGGGTATACATTCGTACAGATTTTTTCTTTGTTTTCAGGATACAGTTATTTCTATTCAAGCACTAACAGAATACGCAATCAAACACTCTTCAATTGCTTCCAATTATGGCGTGCAGTTCAATACATTCGGAATGAATTTTATGCACTCATACAAGGCTTCTCAAAACAACTTTGATTCTTTGCATACAGTGGAGGTATGGCTTGAAATTATCTTTACGTTATTCATGTTTCAAACTAACTTTATTTATTATATTTTTTCTTACGTAGAGTCAATGATTTTTATAACTTTATTTATATCTTTTATTTATATATATAAACAGACAACAGAAACAATAATTAACATCAATAACTTTACGACATACAAAAATACGTAGCATTTTCACGGAAAGTATTAAATCATAAACATTAGTATTTAACTTCGTGCGCTTATTTAATCATCCAGCATTGTTAACAGGAATTTGCAATTAGAGATGCTTTGTAGAGATCAATATAAATTTCTGGCGAAAAAAAACAAGCTTACGTTTAAAGTGATTTAGGTTGCATTTTCATTTAATAATCTTCAGTTTTCGTTGAAATGTTGACAATTTACTCTGTAGTTTATGTCAGCTGGAAAAGTACTCTATTTATGCGTATGTTAATGTTTGTTTCATATAATGTGTCCGTATAATACAAGTTCATGTTCTGCTTTGTATTTCATGTTATTTACAAATTATTGAACATCAGTTTAAAATGTTGCTTTTTTCTAGATACCTTCTGGTTTAGACAATGTGATAGTTCAAGCTATGGGAGATGGCATTGCTGTCGTAGACGTAAGTTCTTTTTATTTATTTGCATTACATCTCATTATCTTTTAATTACGAACCAAACAAATAATGGTATATCGACCATGAGTGTGCTATAACATATCTGTTTAGACTAAAATAATTTTTATATTTATGGTAAAGAAAAGTACAAAAATAACCGAACCATCAAACAATCGTATCAGATAAACATTGAACTTTAACTAACAGGACACACGTCCTGTTAGTTAATTCAAACTTTAGATATTTCAACCAGCTAATACCTTTCAACAAGTTCAGCAATAATAGTTTAGTCTCCTGTGAGAGGAATATTGGTTAAAGTAAGAAACATATATCACCGGTATCAACCAATGCCTTATTTAGATAAAAATTTGTTTTATAATTTAAACGACGACAACACACATTTAGCTGTTAGAGACAATCGGTCAAAAAGGGTCACATTTTGTATTTTTGTAACATACTTATATAGTATGTTTATGTCATATCTTTATAGATACTAAACTATATTAAAACAAAGATGAGCAATTGGATATCGGTTTATTTCTTTTGATGTATATTTGTTTATACTTTATCTTTAAACATGTTTTTCAAAATTTCTTTATATCACGTTAACAATGCTCAATTTTATACATATTACAATGTTATGTTGTTCAAACAGGTCGTTCAATCATTCTATGTGAGCAGTGTTGGCAACGGGTCTTATATTTCGGTCGCTGCAGACATAGAGAAAGAGTCGTTGAATTCCCTAACAGTGAGAGCAAACATAAAGTACGACCTCATATCTTCACACACAAAAAAACAAAAACAACAAAAATAAAAAACAACAATTTTTTTCTCGTAAAGTAAACTGAATAAGATGTAACAATTTTCTTTCACGTTTTTCGTGATTACATGTATTGTTAACTGGCTTGTTCCATGTAAGTAATTGTTTTGTCATATCGTGCTAATAATCAAACTGATTATGATAATTTAAAACTGTACACAATATGGAAAAGTCTGAAATGAAAATATTGGTTAAGTATAACTTTATTGTCCAAAAGAAAAAGAAAAAAGCTTGATTTGTCTGAGCCTGTATGGTGTCAATGGTAAACAGTTACTACCGTCCAACTGTCCTAGGAACGGTTTTAGATTTTGAGTAGCGATTAGAAATCCCACTTTTACTAGGTATTAATATCTTGAAGAAAACCATTACATATGATCAAACTAATACATGAAAAAAAATATCATAAATTCCATATATGTCCACTTACAGATGGAATGGTCCAACTTCAAGTCATATGATAATGATGGAAATTGAAACCCCAACTGGATTTGTTGTTGACAGAGACTTTTTTATAAAACAGATTCACGTTAGAAAACATGAAACAAATGGGAGGAAAGTTGCTCTGTATCTTAATGAGGTAGGAATTTGTAGAAAAGCGTATATGGTTACATGTATACATAACTAACTGGTCTGCAAGATAACGCTATAATATTTCAGAAATTTAGTAAACAGCCCTGGGGCAATCCGGCTTCGGTCCGTATTACTAGGGGATCCTAAGTATTGTGTACTACCGCATTTCTTATAATATTTCGCAATTTGCAATAAGAAAATTGTATAAAAGAGCACTTTTGGAAAAGAAATTATGCTGCTAAAACATTTCAAGAAAGTTCAGCAATAAGCTTTTATAATGGTCGTTATGTAAAATTTTCTTCACTGTATAATAAAGTCCGATGAAAAGGATTACAGTGTCTAACATGGCTCAGTCAGTCACTATAGATCTATTTTTGTCGATACATGTATATATATTTATATCATTAAAGAAGGTACATATTTGTGTAAGGTATGATTTAATACAATAGAATGATGTCTTATTTGATTGAAAAACAATAATGATAATACAATAAGTTCAAGAACAATTTGCCTTACAAAGCATTATGCTCTGTAAATACTAAGACGAAAAAAAAACAATGCCTGTAGATACATTTGTTAACTTATTAACCATCTATTTATTAGACAACTAGAATCCCATTTATTAGATTTAGAAAACAGTATATCTACATTTATTAATAAACTTCAAGTAATTTTATTTAAAAGTCAAATCGATACTACATAGATAAGAAAAAGTTCAAAACCTTCAACAAAACCAAAAACTCACAAATAAGAAACGATTAAACAAGCATATGTCTAATACTAAGATATTAAGGGATACACAGGCATAATTTTCATTTCTTCGTTTTGATTTTTTTTCATTTATCTGTAAATGTCCTCAAATGAATACACTAGGCAGTAACAGAAACAAAACATTTCTCCTTGTAAAGAATAAAATGGTGGTTTCCTAACCTGACCCACGCGGGTCAGGTTAGAGCGTTAAGATTTTACAATAATTGGCACAGTGATATCTGGAAACGTTAAAGAACATGTCAAATGAATGATTTAGGTTTTTTTAAATAATACAACATCTACAATATCTGTTATTGTAACTTCCATGGTTTGTTCAAGTCACATTACTAGTTTAAAAACTACTCGGTAATTCTGTTGGCGTCTAAATTTCTTTCAACATATATAGATATTTTTACGCTTCAAACCTAAAATATATAGAATATTTACAGAAAATCTTGCTGGGACATTTAAAAATGTCATTTTAGCGTGATTCGAGTACAAAAGATAAATTTGATATTTTTGCCATAAATTTGCCTGAGTATCCCTTTAAAGGTGAACACACTCATTTTCTCTAACGCCAACAGCACTGCATCATTAGCTTGCGGTGCCTCCAGCCATTGAAACAAATTCATAGTGAAATATATTCAAAATCACTTCATAAGAATCAATATAAGACTTAAAACTAGTTAAAACACTGCTTAATTCCAGAATAAACAAATCCATGAATCACTTTATGTGAGTAACTAAAAATCCGTGTTAGAGTGTGAAATATCTAAAGCACGCAACTCAAAGCCTTTGAAATTTAAGAAACAAATAAATCCCGAAAAACATGTGTTAAATTCAGTCGACACAAATTTCGATAAACTTAAATTCACAATTAATTTGAATCTGACTACATTCCCAATCACTTCTTATAAATACAAAGACTGTCGTTTTGCGCGATATTATGTATGACAGGTGCCAATAGCTGGCTATATGAAATAGACATCATTTGATGTTTATTTCAGACAGTACATGTATAACAGAAAGTCAAATATAATTCAAATATCAGCAATATATTGAAAAAGAAATGTAATATAAATATATTAATTATTCGTATGCTGCAGAATCACGAAAAAAATAAATACAAACAATAGATGGTTAATGTATATTTACATACTTTGATTTTTTTCTGTAAATGACTTACTAGGTACGAACTGCTGCTTTTTTTTTACAAACATTCACTGTTTATATGCCTCATGTTTGCATCATGTATGATACACTGATAATTTGAATTAGTTGAAGAAACAGGTCCATTAATTAATTCAAACAGGGCCAATGAAACCGGATCTTCATTTTGCACACATTTATTTTTGCTCCAGTTCCTTCAACGGGTCCCAACATTTTTTTTCAGAATATGTACCTCATTTTCTGTAGCATTGCTTGAAGATGTAAGAATAACATTTTACTAGGGTCTTAAACACCGTAATTGTACAACAAATACTAATTATTCATTTTCAGCATCAATTGCAATGTAACTTCTAATATGTGTTGTTATTTATTATTTACTTTTAAACGTTAATTTCTTTTACACTCAAACAGTGTTTGCACATTCAATATGGCAATGTTACTGTTCGAAAATAATCTAAATGCCTTATTTTGAAATGTGGTAATTTTATCATAAAACTTTTTGTTTTATAACTACTTTATGTATTTTCATATTTTTTCCTATTTTGCAATTTTCTGTGCACGTATTTTCAGATCATCCAAAACGGTCAGTCCGTCGTGACAGTCAAAATGGACAGGTCCGACCCGGTCGTGAAGAATCAAGCTTGTCACATAATCGTCTATGATTATTACGAACCCAGTAGGTTATACTAGAATGTTCCATGATTTTATTTTTTTAAATCTCTTTAGAAAGGCAAACATTTGTTTAATTTGTAGTCATACTGGATTTAGAGCATGTAAGATGATTATTACGCTGAATTTGACTTCATTCACAATATTAGATCATTATAACTGTACTAATTGTCAAAATGTAAAAGGAGCAATTTTATTTTACTTTACGTATAAACATATTTATGTATACGTATAAATAGTCGCTTTGACGAATTTTGTTCGAACATTGACACTGAACTTTAATTAATGTCGTAGAACAAGTTTGTAGTCGAATGCATGTTTCTTATTATTACTGGTATGATTAAAAAACATATTGTATTTTACTGATAAGTTACATAGCCCTTGCGCAATACTAGTAAGCCAATGCATGTCAAAAAATTAACACTATTTTGAAAACTGCTACATTTCTGTTAAAAGGCAAATTATGCCTCAGAAATATAAAAAAAAATCTTTCTGAAAGGGCAAACATGTGTTTTTATAATGTTGTAATAATTGGATTTACAACATGTAAGACATTTAATTACCACCCCAAGAAAAAAACATGATATGAAATAATTTGTGATAAAGATAGAAAAATGTAAACAAACTGTTATGTTGACCTCCATACAAAATACTAAATCACTAACAGGTAACTCAGATGGCTTACTTATATGGCAAATGAGTCACTTTTTAAGAAACTGTAACAGGAAAACCGAAAATAAAAATATATGACAAAAAATAAATAATAGCGCTTTGAGGCTTTGAATGGCCTTTAAGTTAAGTACATATGTTGATTTCATTGATTTTAAGCATTTTCTAACTTAGGGCGTTGTATGAAACAAGACATACATATAGTTCAATTTATATTGAAGTATAATACATATAATTCTCAAATGCAAAATAAATGTTTACAGCCTACCAAGCAGTGACACGGTACGAGTCCGGTCTGTTAAAGAGAGCCAATATTTGTGATGTATGCCCATTGTGTAACTTTTGTACAGGTTCTTCCGGTTTCTCTCAGGTAACTGTCTATAGCTTTAATTGTAATTTAATTAGTTAGATAGTTATTGCGAACTTTGCTTGGTATTTTGTTAAAGTAGTTTTATTTATATATTTTTAAGTTAATTGAAATGTTTAGATATACATGTGCATGTATTTAATGAAATACAGGCAAATAGAAATAACCGCTTATTTGGTACATGTTTTAAGGTGTTTTTGTTTCAACAACTTGTAGTAATGCTGCTCTTGGTGGAATTTATCGTTGTTGTTTGTTTCTTTTTATTAATTTAATGTTAGTTAGTTATTTAGGTATTGGTTAGTGAGTTGGTTAGTTAGTTAGTTAGTTAGTTAGTTAGTTAGTTAGTTAGTTAGTTAGTTAGTTAGTTGGTTAGTCAGTTAGTTACATTTGTTAGCTTGTTTGTTTAGGGAAAGGTTGTATGTGCACTTGTTTTTCTTCCCATTTTAACAAATAAACCTTCATAGTCTATACATGTACGTTTACTTTGAAACAATAATTAATAATAATAATAATAATGAAAACAAATATGCATAGATCTATATAATCTTTTGTAAAACATTTCACTTGATTTTGTATTACAGATTGGAATTGGAAAGTGAATCAAAGAAATGACATACTCCCGTTCGACTGTCTTCCGTCGTACAAAAATAAAGAAACTATGCACTTGAACTTTCGTTATTTTTCTTTTCCTTAATATATTCATGCCAAGGATTTCTCCGGTTATGGAATCAGTTTTCCGTTCAAGAACAATGTGATCCTTACTTTCTACCTACCGGGCGCAAAACGGATTATTAGGGGTCATTTTCTTAATATTACCAATCATCCTTTGAAGGCTCTGTGTCAAATGCTAAGCTCATTGTCAGAAACTGCATGGGCCGATGCAAAAAATATCGTGAATTAAAAATGTGTAATTACGTTAAGAAGGCCATTGTAAAATAATAATTTTCCGGTTATGGACTCAGTTATCAGTTTACATTTTAATGGCGAGGATATTATGATAGTCTAAACACTACACAGACGCAAAACATATAATGAATCTCTCATCCTTTAATGTTTGAAAGTTTTTTGCAGTCATTGAGCATTTAAAATAAATTTCGTATTTTTTCAAGAGGACTGTGACCTTGACTTGACTCATCAAAACAAAATGCTTTTCAAATGTGTAGACAAGCGTTATAAAGGGAGATAACTTTGCTATATTATCCAATATTCATGGTGAAGAAACTGTTAATCTTAAAATAGCAAAAGACCATAACTGAAAAATATACCAGGTCCTGTGGATAATTATGACACTAAGGTTTACTATAATAAGCGACATTATGCCCACCTATGGGATGTTGAAAGTTAAAATAAGTTTACATTTTGGCATACTACATTTCAATTTTAAAATTTACTAGTTCCCCAAGGAAATTTCATTAAATGTCCATCGCAAATTACCTGTTAAGTTCAATTACACATCAACAGTTTACTGTTCCACAAACAGCCATGCAATAACTGTCTTATTATTTAATACTTTGCAATTTTTAAAATCTATTATACTGTAATCGCAAAAAACTAATAAATTTTTTACCTGTTTTTAATTTTTTTATAACTTATCCTTCCACGAAAACCCCTACCGTACATTGAGCTGAAGCGAGTTCAAGAGAAAAAGTGGCGACCGGGCGTTAAAAGAAAAACCCCATGCGACACAAGGTTTTTGACAGTTAAAATGTGGGGGCGGTCAAGTTTTTTTTCCATCATTGCGCATGCCAAGGATTTCAGCGGTTCACTTACACAGTTGTAAATATGGAACAAGTATTTATAGTAGTTTACCCACGTGTTAATTATTTAATTACCCCGAACAAATACTGTGATGATCTGAAATTGTCAACTAAATGAAACTGTAACAAAATTAAACCAAGAGTAACAATAACTAAACTGTCCTTACCTTGCAGGTTTAAAGTATACTGTAGGCCTACTTGAAAAGTTATTTTTCTTTTATTCTTGAAGCAAGTGATGATATCTACCAGTCATAAACATACAATAAGCTGTGTTTTATTTAGAAAACAAAACACAAACCAATTTATACGGTTATGATCTGTGAAATCTGATCCTTCTGTATCCAGGATATTCTTCGTATGTTTTTTACAAAATAACGATGATATTATATGTCTCTCTACCATATCCGTAATGTTTCACTGATTAAAATTGTTAAATAATCCTTTGTTGCATGCTTTAATCGTCTGCATATTTCAGTTGAACACATTATTATTCACACTGCAATCACTTCCGATGTAAACGCAAGTTTACTTTTGACTTTTCAACAGCAGTATAATCAAATACGTGAGGATATATTTTATGCTGAAACGGACTTATATGCAGTTATCAACGGTTTTTACATCGATAACTTTGATATTGACCAAACATATAATATCTTGATAGATAATTTGATTGATTATAATCACAGTGTTACCATGAAGTGTAATGATAACATTGGACACAATTCCTATGATATTTTGGATTAAGATAGCGGTTTAATAGCTTTCAATAGTTCTGAATAAGAAACTGTTGACAATGTTACACATGCACCAACTACAAATCTGAATGATGATAATTCTACTTTGAATGCATTTGCTGATAATAATTTGTCTGGTTTAAACGAAAATGCTGAGTGTTCTATGCATATTACTTCGGTTGATAACAATATAGTCAATTTTGATAAGACTTCTGAGTTTGCAATTCTCTTGTAATTTTGTTGTGATTAATGCTTCCGAGGGATCACTTTGTTTCCAGATTTTTCTACTGAAGATGAGCAGGTACTTAAAAATGACAATAGTACCGACAATTCATTATCACAAGCCATGCACAGTTGACAGTTCTCACTTTAGTAATGACGGTGAATCAGAGTGTGTCGAAGTAATTGTAACCTCGATTAACATAACTCTGAATAAGACAGAGAAATGTAAAAACAATACAAGAAAGTCTGTGACACGTTCTGCATCTGTTGGATATTCAGGAAATATCAATCACGCAGAACTTGGAGAAAATATGCCTGACCTTTCCAGGAATATATAAAACGAATTTGAAGAGTATGTAGAATATTATCATAATCTTAAAAATTGACTTGGATATTCAGTTTTGGATCTGAATTTACTACGAAGAAAAACTATTATTGAGATTTGAATGTTTAAAAGGCTCATTAAACGTTATATATAAGTTAAAGTTCGTTGCACTTTATTGTCGCCGGGAATGTCGCGACGATCGCGAGCATATTATTGAACATAATGTTAAAGTGTTATATATGTTAAAGGTATGTCTGAAAGTATAGTATAGTGTTGTTTAAGTGTTAAATCAATATGTTCTTAAAGTTATAAATAAAAGTGTATTTATAATAAGTGAAATATTTTGTTTTCGAAAAAATAAAGTGCTGTAAAGATGTTAAAATGTGCAATTAAAGTATTTGTTTGTGATATTATTCACAGCTATTATAAAGTGTTGACGGTGTTAAAGTGTAGAGTTAATTTATCATTTAAGTATATATATATGTGTATATATGAAAAATAGAACAGTGACCAATAAGTTTGAATACAGATGAACGCTGGCTAAAAAACTTTACGACGGTTCCCATAAAATGGTGCTTAACACGAGTATCGGTCACATTTTAACACGTAACATTTTCCCGCTCTTTGTAAAGCAGTTTATGAGAAAGGTACATTCATTGAAAGAATAGAGTATTTGTGGCTTAGAAAAAATTTGGACCTGCAGAACATTAAAATATAGTAAAATAGATAATTTCATTTGATACATTCTATTATAACAGCCGCAGAGCAGAAAGAATTCTAACTTTATGATTTTATTTATATGAACAAAACTTCATAATATGCGGTTACCCGACATACCATATCATCATATTTACAGATAAAAACCTTTAAAATTAGTATAAATACATTTAGGGCTACTGTTTACAATTTGGAATGTTATACTAAAACTAAAACATTTTGTGAATAGGATAATCAGCAATCCTATGATGAAATCAATTTATAATTTATTGGCTTTCCCAAGAGAATATTAGTCCATACTAAAGTAATTTGCATTTCCTTGCAATTTAATTGATAAACGAATATTCCCTCACCAGAGGATGTCGGAAAAGCTGTTAGATGAACAGCTGCAAATGCTGACCAACATTTCAGTAAAGTTTCGTGACTCTAGGTCAAATACTTTTTGACACACCTGTGACAAAAGTTGAAAACCGCAAATTTGTAACCAAGTCAATGGCAATTACTCCACAAATGATAAATAAATCCACAAGCAACCCCAAGGTACATGCTGACCATCAGTCCTGTAAACTCCGGGTTAAATACGTTTGAGCTACGCATCACGCAATTTGACAACTTGCAAATGTATACTATGTCAAGGGCAAGAAGTCTGAGACTGTACATAATGGAAAATGGATAAGTGCAACACCCCTAACGCCCCATAGCACCGGCTTTAGCGGTACTCAATTCTCAACACTTAATATATATTGTGCTGGCATCAATGATCCCAAAGGACCAGAAAAATATAACAACACTGAAGTGAAGTAAGCCAAGGGCAATAAATCTGACAAAACTTAATTAGTCCGCATGCAAAACCCCAGGCAAAAAACTTCACTTGCTGAACAACTTTTCTGTTAAGTTTAATGACTCTTTGTCAATTTTTTAAGGCTACGCACCACACAAGTTTAAAATGCAATTTTTAATAAGTCAAAGGTAATAACTCTACAAATACTGAATAAATGCAAAAGTAAATCTAAAATTATAACTGCACATGCTGACTATCATTTCTATTAAGTTTCATGACGCTAGGTCAAATACTTCTTGGGCTACGCGCGAAACAAATTGAAAGAAGCACATTTATACTAAGTCAAGTGCAATAACTGAAGAAATCCACACGCGTAACACAACATGCACAACTTGACATGCTGATTAATATTCTGACTCTAGCTCAAGCATTTTTAGAGTACATGCGATACAACATGAGAACGGACGGACTGACAAGGGAAAATCTAAATCCCCCCTTAATTTGGGACACAAAAAAGGTTGTAGGCACAGTTTATAATGACATCGTTCAAGGATGGCAATGTTCCATGCAAAATCGTGTTCACCAACCCGACCCCCCACCCCTCCTACCCATCCTGTTTTTCAGCATACACACACCTTCAACATGCTTCAAGCAACGGTTTAGGCAAAACTTCATATAAAATTGATTTTGGTGTAGGTGAAATTCCTGCAGATGTGTTCGTCGGAAACTCCACACACGACACTATCATGCTATTCCACAGAATGTTTATATTATACGCATTTAATATAAACGTGAAAACAATGGTTTTTGTTTAAAAAAAAAACATTTGTCATTCTGACACATGCTTTACACAAAGCTTATGTCGAAATATTTACAACAATAATTGCACATACTTCGCATTCTCTATTTTATCCCGTCGCCAAAGGCAAAGGGAATATAAGAACTGGTCTCCGTCTGTTTCGTCCGTGCATCCGTCCCCATTTTGTCCGGAGCATAACTTTTGAAGTACTCAAGCGATTTTTTTCAAACTTCAAATACTGTAAAAGCGCACTAGGGAAGTTCGGAGTCCAAGAGTACAACAACTCCTCATTGCCTTCTTTTAGAGTCATTCCCTTTTGTCAAATTAACTTGAA